GGCCCTTTGGTTTGGCCTCCCCATCTTGATGTAACTTCTGGCTACATACATCAGCAGGTTTGACTCCAAGAGAGAGTCTGTTGAGTGAGATCCATGGCGTGGATTCAAGGCAGACTGCTGCACTTACCCAACACCACTCAGGCTCTGTGGGTCGCCCTGAGGGACATGACTGTGAGCTCTTCAGGCTGTCCTTTCTCAGAAGAGAACTGCACTAGAATGAGGTGATCCAGAGTACACACAAGTTCAGAGAAGTAATTTGGTTTGTAGCAATCCATTTCATGTCCTTTAATCACAATTTAGGTCCCTGTACCTGGAAAAGGGGCATCTTCGGTAGCGTGTAGATGCAGGAGAAACCAGAGCATTCAACAAATTGCAGTATGTTGCTTGCTGTGTATTTATCATCAACTTGTCTGATAGGACCCATTTTTTTAAAGATCTGAGCATTTTTGGCAAACATCTTTCAAGTGATTTCTCAAAACTTTGGCGGTATTTTCAGCCGTTGCAGCACACACGCCTTCCCAGGCTGCCAGGCCTCGGGTTTGTTGCATGCATTTGTTCATCACTATAGTAACTGAAAGACAGATAAAGAGAAATATTAAGAAAAGTAAAACTGAGATCAAATTCACAAAGAAACACTTTGTCTGCATTTTCTCAGACTTGCACCACCGAGGACAAAGTGGATGGGGCTGGTCTAGGTGGAGCTGAGATGGGTCATTTAAAACTGGAAGCTAAAGTGTTCCTGAAACAATTTGTGTTGCTTCATTTCCTTCTCTGTAGTATTAACATGAGCTTTCTGGTCAAGTCATTATTCTAGCCTCCAGCTTCAATACTGAGTTTATATATATATGTGTTTTGATGTCTGTTCATAGAACCAGCGGTGGTAGCTCAGTTCTCACAAGATCTGAGTCCTCAGAGCAATTTGCTCACTTGCCTTTGCCATTGTTCTCAGTCAGAATCTCCAACAGCAGCTACTAATGAGCCCGATAACAGGGAAAGCATCAGGGTGCAGAGCCCTAAGCCAAGCACATGCTGCAGTTTGCACATGAGCAGGCAAACTGAAGCTGGATGTGTTTATGCACTTTCCTAGCAGGTGTTTAAATGCTTCACTGGATTGAAGACCAGCAGCACCATGGGTCAGGATTAAAGATGCTCCATCAAGCTGGAGAGTGATGGAAAAGGCAACCGAGCACTCCCTTTCCTGCTGGCACTGCAGCAAACTCCTGCACCAGCCTTGATGTGCACTTAGAGAACTGGAATGCTAGAAGGCAGATTCAAAACCTGCAGTCAGAGGAAGGTCTTCACATCTTGGGCCTCCATCTCCTCAGCACCAGTGGTTAGAGCCAGGGACAAACCATGCTGTGCTGGCAGGAATATTGGTTGTGTCCTGCTGGAGGTTTGGGCAGCAATCCCAGCCTGCACCCATCCACTGCAGGAGCACTGGGTCCTGGTTGAGCTCTCTCTGCCACCCAGTTCCTCACCCCGACCCTTTGGTGTGCCCATAACACCAATATGTTAAGGAGAGTAATAATCTACACCCTGAATTCCAGGTGTATACAGAACCATTTCCCCATCCAGGCAAAACCTATAGCTACAACAGCAAAGTGTTTTGCTGTCTGCAGAGTGGGCTGGATGGAGAGCCAAGGGAGTCACTTGCAGAAGCTTGCATAAAGATACCCAAGTATGAGCAGTGCCTGAGCAGAGTGGGGTTACCTGCCACTGCTCCACAGCAGTCCTGGTCTCAAGATCCCAGCACTCACTTTGCTTTATCAGATGCAAACCATGAAGTGGGGAATGGATTTTGATGCATGGAGGAAGTGGAGTGCAAGACCCTTCCATCGCTGCGTATTCCTGAAGCCCAAAACCAAGTCATGCTGAACCCCAATGCCGTCATCAGTTTTGGTCACAGTGCATCACATCTCCTTTTAATGCCACTTCCTCTCTAGGATTATCAGTTTATTCAGCCTGAATGAGATGCCTATAAAAATGTAATTAAATTATTTAAAAGAAAAATTGGAAAGGATTAGAGAGGGAGATAAGGCAGTGGCTTTTTCTTCTTTTTTCTCCCTCCTCCTTTTTTCCTTCTGTAACAATAATAAAGCCAAAGATCTAGTTGAGAAGAAAAGTGGCTGAGTGATTCATCAGGACTGAATCACAGTCACTATGCAGTGGAATTCACTGCCTTCACTCCTGCAGTAGTAACTCAGCCACTGCTTTAAATCACTGGCTGTGCTTTCAGGCACAGATATAAGACAGAGGGAGATAAAATCAAGTTAACAGAGAAGCTTTTTGGTGTGCACTGTGTGTTGCCTTTGAACACAGCACGGTCTCCTTTGCCCAGTTGCGTGGGATGGGTTTTATTGAAAAGAGAGCCTGAATAAATGAAGTTTCTTATGGTTCTACCTGCCATTAGATGCAGCCCTCCCACTCTTCTTTCTTTCTATTTGATTTCATAGAACTTCTCTCTTTCTATTTGATTTTAAGTGCAAGCTTCCCCGCTCTTGCTGAGAGGTTACCTCTGAAGTCAGCACTCTGCTTGGGCCACAGCATCTCCTGGTACCCAGATCTAAGCTGAAAAGTCCAGATGCAGAAGCTGAACACTTCAGATTTCTCAGCAGTTTGGATCCCAGTCCATTTTGTGAGGGAAACCATTGTGAAGAGGCGAGGCAGGAGGAAAATTCTGGTCTACATCTGATTCACAGCATCAGCTGATTTGGTGCTTGTCCTTACTTAGAATTATGTCTCACTGTTGTCACCCCCTCTATTCTTTACATTACTCATATTTAGTCCAGGGAGCACTCCGGATGCTGCAGCACTGCCATGTATCCAGGTTCCGAGACTCATGATAAAAGTGCTCAGCCTGACCTAAGGTGGGAAGAAGTTCAAAACTGAAGTGATTGAAAAGAAGGTCATGTTAGTGATACCTAAATGGAGAGGCCTTTAAATAAACTCCTGCATCTATGGTATGAAACCTGACTGTTTGCAGTGCACTTGGGTTTATTCCCCACACTTTATCATGCTACCTGGATATATTAACCTAATATCCAGTTTAAGGTAGATCTGACTTTAAGGTTTAAAGCAGAACATTTGCATTCACTTTGAACAGTGTAACTACCACTGTTCATAATACAGACATCGTCAAAGCAAGTTTCATCTGAGGGGCACGAAGTTTTTTTGTAAGCATTGAAATGCCCTCTCAGAGCAACCCTTTGAGGTATTTATTATCTCAGGACCAGAGAAGAAACCAAAGCAAGGGGCAACCATGGCATCATGAGCTGGAGATGGAGCAGGGCCAGGCAGCTCCCTGCAGGACAGGGCAGCCCCTCTGCAATGGGTGGCTTGAGCTGTCTTTTACAAAACCCTCTTTCTCCATCAACTGCACAGCCCCAACTTTCAAATGGCCAGAGATAAGTAAGACCACCTACCTCGTTCCTGGTTCCAGTCATAGTATTCCACAATATCCAGACAGAATATTAAATAAGTCAGGTATCAGGGCACAAGTTTGTCTTTTTTATGGGAAATAATTTTTTTTTTTGAGACAAATTTCACATTTACAGTCCATGAGCTGGAAGCTACTAAACAATCCTTTTATTTAAGGGATTTAAGGATGAGAGAGGTGAAATGACAGTTGATAATAAAGCATCCTCAGCAGACGTAGGTACCTGCAGAAGTGCTGAATGCTGCTGTAGCTCAGCTGCAGAGGATGCAAGGCAGCGCCTATGCTGGGGCTGTTTCTCCTAGGCTGCCTCTTCTCCTCCCTCCAATAAGGCCACGTCTGCTCCCACATCCTCGCAGGCTGGCATTGCTGCTTACTCTGGGTACATTTTGGGTTTTCCTCTCAAGCACTTGCACAGCGATTCCCAAGTCAGAGCAGTGTCTGATGGGGTTGTGTCCTCTGCTCTTCAGCATCATCTGGCAACTCCTCCAGTTCCTCCAGGGAGTCCTGGTCCATCTCAATCCTCTCTCTGCAGCCACAGATGTGCAACAGAACTTTTCATCATTTTGTTTTAAATGGTTTTTAAAAATCCCGTTTCTAATGAAAAATTTCCACTTGGTTCTTTTCTTCTGCAAAGACATTTTGAATGAAGAAGACCTGCCTAGGAAGCAGCAATACATCTCCTGCCTCCTGCCATTCCTCCCAGTGCTGAGAGGACCCAGCTTCCCAGCACCAAGGCATGGTTGGGTGCTTGTCTTTCTTCACTGCAGGAGATACTGGCTGCTGCTGGGAGGTTGGGACCACACTGCCGAAACCAGAGACCAGATTCTGGTATAAACTGGCAGAAGACAGGGAAGTCTCAGTGCAGGGGAGCTTCGTGGAGGCAGCTGCACGCTGGGGACACCGGCATCACCTCTCCCACCAGGCAGCATGGAGCCCCTCTTCCTATAAACCCCCACTGAAAGGAGGGAGGGCAACACAGACCCTTTCCCCTCCTCATCCCTGCTAGAGCACATGGATGAACTTGATGTGGAAAATGCAAGCAGCAAGGAGCCAAGCTCTGTGTGGAAACCTCCTGAAGCGAGGGCCATGCAGTCCCCTACCACATGTGAGCTACACCAGCCTGTAACCCTGGCTGCGTAGGAGCCCTCACTGGGCTTCATAATTCATATGCATATGAGTCTGTATATATTTCCGTGAGTACTGCATCTCCACGTGAATGAGGATAAGTATATGCAAGTGTGAATAAAAAGGCTGAGTGAATCATTCATCATGGATTATTGATAGGATTAATTTTACCTCTTTTTCTACTCTCAGGATGCCCACAAGCCCCCCCCCCCCCCAATTTATTTTCCCTCTTTCATTAAATATTTCTGAAGATGAAGTAGATGAGAACCAAGTAATTTCTCTCCTCTTTGCTTGGCTGAATGAGATAGTTGCAGTCAGGTCAACCACTGTAAATTCCCACAGCCAAGTGTCTTCTCTGGCATCTGAGCCTAAAAGCTTCAACATCTTTCCCCCTGAATATTCACACGTAAAGTGCAGTCATGGGGATCTCAGAGGAAAATGGTCTCAGAGAGGGGAACAAGCAGAAATGAAGGGGTTTCATGAGCTAGCTGGAATGACTGCCAGCTGTGTCAGACAGGGCTGTGCTCGGCTGCTGGGTGAGGGAAGGACTGTGGGTGTGCGAGCTCAGCTCAGCAGGTTCCATGCACACGTGTTTGGAGACTGTTTGAGCTCCCCTTCCTGCCAATGGGGACAAATCAGCTCCTCCGTGGACTCCAGGCAAAGTCCTGAGCCTCCACACTGCCTGCACTGGTCTTCCAGGCAGATGACAAGGGTGAGGAAACACAAGGCAGCTCACAGCTGGGTACTGATGGTGCTGAAGGACCTCTGAAGGGTAAAGGGCAGAGCTGGCAGCCAGCAGGTTGTACCCTCACCCATTCCTAGCAGAGGAAGGACACCTCCTTCTGGCAGGGCTCTCCAGTGACTTTCCACATGGCAACAGCAGATCAGAGTAATACACACTCGACATCAGAGCACATTTAGGTCATGATCCAGCAGACCAAACCTGGGCTTAATAGTCCCACCCAAGCAGGGAGGAGGTTAGTGTGGATCAGATTCTCTGCCATTTCCCATGTGCATTTCTTTTCTATGTGCATCTCTTCAGGTAGAGCAACTGCCGGCAAACAGAACCTCTTCTTCACAGATTTGAAGCCCAGCACATGGCTGAGTAAAGCCAGGAGCTGGTTTCCCAGCATTTTTGGCAAATGCTGGCTGATGCTCAGTCCTCTGCACCGGTTTCATGCCAAGAAGCCTGGTGTGTTCAGTCAAACTGTTCGCGTGCAGAAAGTTAACCTGGCTCCGTTTCCCACCGGAGCAGTCAAAATCCAGCTCCTCGGGAGCAGCAGCCTGCTCAGTGCTCCCACACTGTGGCCTCTCACAGACTTTGCATGCACAGACCTCTGCTTGCCGGGGTCCACACGAACCGAAACCCATCAGGGTGAATGCATGTGAGCATCACAAGCCATGTGCTGCAGTTCCTGGGTCTCAAACAGTCATTCAACCAACGTGATTCACACCAGTTTTGCACATCAGCGCTTCTCCAGACAGGACACTGTCGATCCCATCTGTGGGCATTTGTCTGCTGTGTTATTCAGTGTGACAAGCACGTCCTGTCATGTCCCATGTGGCTTCCCCTTGGCCAGCCACACACCGCCCAGCACCACCCCGGATGGTTTTAAACAAACAGGCCAACAATTGTTCCCTTGCAGATGGCTGCAAGCTGTGCTGGGGACCAAGGCTGCTGTTTCCATGGCAGCACGTAGACGATTCCACTTGTGAGCAGCCCTAAAATTAAAATACAAACAAAAATAAACCCAGGGAGCGACTTTTTCCTTCCCCCTCCTTGGCCTCTCCAGAGCGTTCACCCTCTGCTCTGTGCCAGAAACCTTAGGCTGCCACTGTGGCTTTCCCCACCAAGTGAACAGTGGCAGTGGTGTTTGGAGCATCGCATGCTGATGCTGCACTGCACAGCCTTGGAAACACAGCCAGGTCAGCTCAGGTCAGCACCGAGGTGGGAGCCTGCTGGAGCCAAGGCCAGCAGCCCAGCACTGCTCTGGAGTGCCCTTGGCTACCTAGAAAGGAAAACTGAGGCTCCTCCTGGAGATGGAAAACCTATTTCCCAAGTCCTTTGCTTGCCTGGTGAAGAAACATTATTCCTGACCATTAATTCCCCATCAAAAAATCTTCACAGAACAAACCCAAAACCCAGACGAAAAAAGAAGGAGACTTCTTTACTCAGAGCTGTTCAAAGAGAGAACAGACTGGAGCCTGCAGGTGGTTTGCAAACCCTTTCTGGCAATTGCATGTGTGTTTAGCACACAGTTACAGCCAATGTCCACACAAGCGCTGTAAGTGCTTGAGCCTGAGGCCACACTCCTGCACCCCTGCAGCCATGGTGGCTGGGGCTTCCCAGAATGGTGCTTTCAAACACTGTAGTGATTGCTCTTATGTTTCCAGGATGACACTGGGAGATCTGCAGCAGCTCAACAGAGCAAGAGTTAAACTAGAGCTGCTCATCTCAGAGCTGTGATACCCACATGTTTGGACTGGGCTTTGACGAGATGGACACATGGAGTTCTCCTCCATGGCCAGGACTGAAAACCACAGCCCTGATTTGCAGAACTAGTCTGGGGGCTAATAAGTGCAGAAGACAATGAAGTGTTCTCACTTCCAAGAAACAAATGCCAGCAATTCCCTACCCAAATTTAACTCACCTGTAGTGCCTTGTTGTCCTCTGTTAACCTTCAGCCATTTACACTTCTCCTGTCTGCAGTTTCTGTGCTGGTTTTGGCAAAATGCATCACAACATTTGCACAGCCTGGAAGGGAAATTCATTATGCAGCTTCCCAAACACAGCAGAGATTTTAAGTGAAGTGATGGGCATGGCTGGGCTCAGGGGTGCAAGGGCTCCACAAGAGGAAATCACCTTTCACTAGCAGCAGCTGCTGCACTTCCTCTTCGAGGCCACACACGCAGAGTGTTGTTTGTGTGAATACAGTTTCTAGGGGGGAAGACAGGAAAATAGAAGAAAAGAAAGAAATGACTGCCTGTGGTCTAGCCACGGCAGCATAAAGCATCCCAGCAGTATTCAGCACAGTTATTATAGTGCTTGGGGAATAAAAGCGGTCCCTCTAATGCTGTGCTTTCTCTCTATAGTGGCTTCCTGAGGAAAAGGCTAAGACTCTCCAAGCCTCCACTAATCTGTGGTTAACAAGTCCCTCAGTCAGAGAGGACACTGCTGCCTCAACTAATTGTTCTTCCATTAATTCCTCCTGCTGCATTACAAATACACTGCTGGCATCTGGCAGCAAGGATTCCTGCACGAATTACCCCTTGTGTGAGGTGCCCTTTTCTGTAACTGAAGTATACCACAGGCCTGTTTCAGCTGGTGCTTTCGATTCCTCATGTGGAAAGAGGCAGGGAGCAGTCCTTCCCTGCTCACACAGCACTCCCAGGGGCTTCTCATGAAGCCAATGCTTTAATACACACCAATGTTCCTGTTTGCTTCAGAGGTGCTTGCACAGGATGTGGGGATCTTGATAGCTCCAAGAGCCTATAAACAGGTATGTGTCTTCAAGCTGGGGAAGCAGGACCTGCTTATGAAGGTAGTTGAAAAGCAGTATTAGTAGCAGACCTGCCTACACGCTTCAAGGAAGCACTCTCAGGAGCTCACCCCACCAGCAAAGCAAACCCCTCCAGTCTAACATTTCCTTTGCAAATACTCATTTCCCAGCCTGCACGTGAAGGTGGGACCTGCGTGCCACCAGCCTCTGCAACGCACTGAAAGGAGCACATCTCCTTGCCTTTAAACGTTACCTGCTCAGCATTGTCTGCCGCAGGCACCTTCCCATCCACTGGGCTCTTCCCTGCACACTGGCTGAGCACCTCTTCCCCACAGCAAAGGGCAAAATATTCCCTTCCCACAAGCGGGCCATGGAGAGGAATGACCCCATTGCTTTAGAGGCACAGTGTCCTGGACAGGTGAGGGTGGAAGGAAGGGTGATAGGAGGTAACCACAGGACCTAAGCAAACACAGAGGGTTCCATTGTGTCTGCAGCACCTCATGTGTCATCAGCCCTTAACCTCTGCTTGATGTAAGCCATGGCTGCCCACCTCCCAGATCTTAAATCCTCATTCTTCTTAAATGCACCACACTGGGGATACTTCAGCAGCTGCGTTAGCTCCTTTTGGATGCAAAGGGCACCCAGAAAGGTTGCCCCTCTGTCACCCTTGGCTGCCCATAGAAGGGTTCCCCCATGCAGTGCCCTGGGCTGTGCTCATCCTTTGCAGGCAGGGAGCTGACCCCAGCCTGGCCTCAGCCGCAGCAGCCATAGGGACAGCTGAGCGCAGCACTGACCAGGCTCTTCCCAAGCCCTCTGCCCTGCGAGGGCACATCTACCAATGTGCCGTGTCACCCAGGCCCTGACTACCTTCATACCACGGCAAGAGGAACCACAGAGGCTCCTGAATCTTGGTGCCCAGGGCACTGCATAGGGAAGCCACGACAGCTTTTATCCGTGTGAAACAACAATGCCATCCAGTGGCTGGTGAGCCCGGCTCCTCGCTGCGCATCACCACAACCAGAACAACCTTTACCTGCCTTGATTTTTAATTTGGAGTACCACCTTGGCTCAAAATAAATACTCTCCAGACTTAAACACCCACAGTAAATCTTTTGTAGCCAAGTGCTCTCCCACCAGCTCACAACACCCCAAGCAGCACTGCACAGAGCTGCAGTAGCAGGGGACTCTTAGCACTGCCAACTGCTGCTTTAGAGAAAAAATGGATCTGGAAGAGAGGGCCAGCATTTGTTGGAAGCACAAAGATCCAATTAAACATTCTTTTCTTGAAAAAACAATATAGCATAACACAGAAAAATGACAAACAGATTCCCTGGGAAGGATGGTTTGAAACTGAAACAACTTTGAGATGTCAGCATTAACCACTGTTATTTCTCCTTTGCTTATTGAACTTTAGTACCTGTTATCCATTACCTGCTTTGTGAGTCCCAGCTGCTGTATGGCTTGGCATGTATTTTACAATACATTTAATCTTGTGTCTAGTTTCTACAGGAACCACAATTTTACCTGCTGGAACACATCCCTTGGTCACTAAGGAAAGAAAATAAAGATTTTCTTCTTGTTGGACTCTCTTTTTTCAGCCTTTAAGTTTAATAAAGCACCTTTTCTGTACTTCCTCACATTACTTCTATGGGCTACATGCTTTTTTTTAACAATGCAACAGCTATCTTCTTAGGCTTTAGTGATCCGCAGGGGCTGTTCAGGCACCCACCAAAGAGCCTCAAAACTGCAAGACCTGACAGAACTGCAGGATTTTGCCATAGACTCCAAGGGCAGCAGACGACTGGAGCTGCTCAGCTCATTAAGCCCAGCTTCATGTTCGTGCTCTAAGTTCATTCTCTCCATCTCAGGTTTTTTTAGACCAAGCAAATGAAGCTCATTTCAGTTCCTCCCCCTGCTTTGCCTTTTATCTGTACCACCTTCATCCTGCTTTGAGGCTTCTCTTGCTTTCCTAAAGGCTGAGAACCTCAGAGGTTTTCTTTGCTGCCAAACAGAGGAACACAAAGCACTTTCTGCTCCTTTTTTGCCCATCAGGATAAGACCGTGCAATCCCCTGCTTGCCTGAGCTGAGATCCTGCCCTCACCACCCTTGCACCAGACACCTGATGGCTGCTAGAAACTGGGATTACAGCCTGTTAGGGGAGCATTGAAAAAACAGTTTCTCACCTTTTTTCAGTGATAGCAGCACCAAGTACAAATTCCTCTCTGAGTTTCCAAGACCTGTATTATTGCTACATAAAAGCCCAGTAACACCACCATTTACCTGAGCTCACACCACTAGCCTCTGCTTTAAACGCTCTGTGGAGCATCACTTACCCCCACACCTTGATTTGATAGCAGCTGTAGATTATTTGGGCCATCACTCACTCTCCTCTGCTGTCTTTTCATTGAAATTGAGGCAAACAGCCTGCAAAGGAGGAGACAATAACAACAAATCAGAGACAGAAGTTTGGTGCTTCTGAAATGTCCCCAAATCCTTGTCCCATGCAGGGGGACCATGACCATCACCTTGTAACAAGGGAAGGATTCAGGGGGAATCCCCTTGGTTATCAGTGCAGTTGAGCATCCAATCTCTCCACTTTGCTGCCTTATTTTTAATCTTGACTATTACTGTCATTATTAGCACTAACAAGTACTTCAAACTCCCAAAGGACGTTATAACATGCAGTAATTAGCCAGCCAGATGGTGGCTGCCAAGAAAGCAGTGTGGAGCTCAGCAATCCCCAGGCTGCGGTCCATATCTGTGTCCGTGCCCATGTCCAACCCCTCCCGTCCTGCCCCCTCCTTGTTATCCTCAGTCCCGCTGGCACACGGTTCCCATCTTGGATGTCCCAGTCATCACCACCAGCAGCTGAGCCAGTTCATTAGCTAATAGCTGGGATGTCTCGGGTGGCCAGGCAGTCTGTGTCCCCTCCTGAGGAGCTGCTCTGGCTGTGCCAGACCAGCAGAGCTATGTCCTTCCCTCATTCTCCCTTACCTTTCTTTTCAACTTCCTGGCACATCAATGGTTTCCCTGGTGGATTACTCTTCCCCTAATATGCTGTATCTAACCGGGAGCTGGCCCATGGCTGTCATGACAAACACATATCACCCAACACTACTTTCCTCTTTGCTAAACAATCCCCAGGGAAGCCGCAGTGTTTGACCCTTCAAGCCAGGGCAGGGTACATATGGAGGTGGTGTGGACTCCACACATGGACTGGTACCAGTGTTGCTGCTCTCTGGCCTCAGAAAAGGTGCCATAAGGGGTCTGCTGTGCCAAGCTTGTCCATGCTGGTGGATGGCAGGGCTGGGTAGGCCTGCACAATGCATTATCCTTATCTACCTGGCCCCTGGGGGATGCCTGTTGCCAAACCAAGATGCCTCCTGAGGCCAGCCCAGCCCTGGCGCTTCGGGTAGCATTGTAGTATCCCCAGCTGAGGTTTTCAGCAGGGCAGTGTCTGCAGCTCAGCCTGCAGGCACACTGAGCAGGTCCTGTGCCTATCTCAGCAGTCCTCGCAGGACTGTGGTTTTGCAAAGGAGCTGCAAAAGCACATGGAGCTGGAGGAGCTACCAACCCACTTTCCCCAGTGAGGTGTCCTAAGAGCTAGTGAGATGTGAGCCTCTAAGTGACTAATGGCACATCAAGAAACAAAGCACACACTTGTAACTAGGAGGGAGCACCACCAGGCAAGTGGGGCTGGTCATTTCCTGGCAATAACCGAGGGCAACATTATTTGTCACTAAAGAGCCTTGGCTGGACAGCACAGGCCCTGGGCTTGCAGTGGTAAAACAGAGGTGCTTCGATCCACCTCCCTCCCTGGCGAACTTTCTTACTAGAAGGCAGACAATGACCAGACACAAAGTTGAGCAAATTGACTCCATCCAACTCCTCTCCAGGCGAGGATGAAGCAAGGGCAAAGAGCAGAGCTAGCTCAATAGCAACCCAGCAATTGCAGAAACATTTCCCCATCACTGCGTTGACTTTGTTATTTTGTAGGAGACCACAGAGATCAGCAGCTCCTGCTACTTGTGGGTATCCTGGACACTGCAGGAATTTTGCCCAGAGTAGTTTTCCTATTCAGCTCATTTAATCTCTGTCCTTCCTCCTTTTCTTTCCCTCTGTGAGAGCTGAGAGCATCTCCCTTTGGATTGGCATTGGTCCTATGGGAAGCAGGATGTGACTGTTGCTGGTACAGCAGTGTGGGTGGTGGGGTGATGGCACAGCTACCCCTTTCAGGGATGTACAAGAACACCCTCTCCCTACCTGCAGCCAGCCTGGGCTGTTCAATGAGCTGGGATCCTCAGGGCATGTCCAGCCATGAGTTATCCTCTCTGCTTGTTGGCACCTCTCTCAGGTGGAATGAAGCTTCTGTCCTCTCTTCGTCAGAGCCTACCATTCCCAATTACTTCTGCACAGCCTGAGCGAGGTGAGATGATTCTCCCCACATCTATGTTTCCAAAGTGGCCATCTCCCAATGTGTAGGTACAATCACCCATGTGTGTCAGCTGCTAATTTGTCCAGGCAAATGGTTGTTAAGTGCTCAGAAAAGCATCTAGCATGGGGTGTGTAATGCAAAGGTTGTTATTATGCCTGTGGGAGAGTAAGCAGGCACTTTGCAACATTTACTCCCTTGGTAGACATGAGGAAGCATTTCCCAGCCTCTCCAGGAAGGTGCTCTGGTTCTTTAGACATTAATGTTCATCACTCATGCAACTGCCCTTATCGCTCCAGGTGCTGCCGAGATAAGAGGTGACACTCATGCTGTTAATGTAAATCTGCTCTCCTTTGGAGGAGAGCTGTTTGTAAGCAGGGGAGAAGAGGATTGCTGGGATGCCAGTGGCTGCTGATGGACAGATGTCACCTCTGCTTCTCCAGCACTCCCAGGGGTGCTGGGTGGCTGGTTAAAATGAGGCTACTGAGCTGTGTCATTAAAATATAGATCAAAACATCACGTTTTCACAGGAATATCACTGAGAAAAGCCATCTCTTAGATTCTGTGGAAAAAACAAATTGAGCACATTCCCAGTCAAGTAGTATGGGGGATTTTGCATCTCAAAAGCTGCTGTGGCTCTTCCCCTCACTGTTTCTGACTATTGAAAATCTGGAAATGCTACCAAAATCATCACTTGCAAAGCTCTCTGTTTTGAGCCCTGGTAGCAGCCTTCAGGGATGTGGCTCTTACCACTTCCATTTTACAGCAGGTGGAGGGCAAAGAGGGTTTGGATGCTCAGTGATGTGCCAGGGATGGTGCAGGGAACAGCGTGATGTGGTCCCATCCGCCTCCCCAGGCTCTCACCTTCAGGCTGCATCACTTCTGTAGCCTTCATAGCAGGGTCCAAACATCACAGAGGGACTTGGAGACATGGGAGCTAGAGGCTCCTTTCCATGTGACTGCAACAGGGTAAGGCCCCAGGCTCTGCTGGCAAATCCTCACAGCCCAATCGTGCTGAAAGCTCTGCACAGGGATCCTGACTTGGAGACCTGAGGCTGGGAAGTGGTGCAGCAGCTTTGTGCCTGAAGGAACACCTACAAGGCTGGCTGTGTAAGTGCACGTGTGTGTGTGCACACAGGCTGCTGTGCCTGGGTACCCACCCCTGTGCACACTGCCAGCAAGGTGAAGGCAGCATCCTTTGCCAGCAACATCATTTGTTTGATGGCGCGAGAGAAATCACATGCAGTCATGAAGTTGGGAGGAGAAGTCCAAGAGGAAGTATCTGTGAAAGCAGCCTATTGTTTGTGACAGGGACTCAACAGTGCTTTACAGTGCCCTAGAACAATCTTCTACACGAGTAAGCGTGGAAAGTACTTCTTAAGCAGATGTGTGGAGCTCAGGTTAGTAATGAACTTGGAGCATGCAATGACAACTTGGCACAGCTAGTGCAACAGCAAGGACAGAAGACCTGTCCTCCTACCTCTCCCTGTCTTTCCGTTGAGCACACAGCTCAGACAGGGTGGCTAGGACCAAGCCCTGCAGCTCCAGGCTTGGCTCTGCAGACAGCTTTGGAGACACTGACTGGATTTTAGTTTCATATCACCAGGGCATCATCCGTCATCCATGATGATACCTCTGCACAGTGCACCCACACAGCACCCGGGGCACTTTGTACTAAAGGGTGAGAGGCAGAAAAAGGGAGAGGTATTTACCCAGTGGCTTAGGAGGAGTTTCTGATGTAGCTGTCCCATGACTCTGAATGTTTTAACTCCAGGATTTAAGCTCTGGGGTGCATGCCCCTCACTCAGGGGAAGAATTTGGAAGCTGTCATGCATGTGTCAGAGCAAAGCCTTTCTTCTGAGAACCACAAGTAGAAACAGGGCACAGCAAACCCAGAAAGCAATCCAGAGCAGGAAGCTTGTAGATGGAGACACAGAAACCCACAAGAGCTCAGCCTGGCAAGCCTGACACAGCTGGATCATGGTACCCTGAGCCACTGTCAACTGGTTCCTTCTTCCCCAGGCTATCTCCAGTGAGGTATTAACTGGCCCTAACCTCTATTATTTCTCCCCAGAAACCCAGTGCTATCCCCTGCAGCTCACTGCTTCTCCAACCCAGTTTTGTCTGCTAGGGAAAGCTTTCACGGATAAACTCTCCACACATGTGGGCAGCATGCTAACTGCTTGATTGCAGCTACAGATCTGCAGAATCAACTTCTTGCCATTAAACAGAGTATGTATTTCCAAGAACAGGCAATGGGAGTGAGGAGAACAGCCCTCCATGCAGCAATCAGTGTCGTGTACACTTTCTAGAAGGGGAAGCAAAACCCATGAGTCACGACAACCTTTATTCCTTAAGCTTCCCCAGAGGGAGCATTTCAGAGCATCAAAAGGATTTAAACCTGTCCAGCTGCTGCTGCGGCATAATTAACAGTTGCACAGTCAGCTCCACCAGCAGCTGACAAAGCCTTAGCAGCAATCCTCCATTTATCACACTCCCGGAGTATTTATAGATTCACAGCAAGGCAGGGGGCAGAGAGAGAAGGAGAAGAACCAGTGAGCTGCTTACCAGGAGGGATAACATTTGCTTTCAGCTGCATGGCATTTCCTTGGGCCCTGGTGAAGCACATGGGACACCCTGAGGTCCAGCAGGTCAGCAGTGGGATGCAAGGGCAGGTCCTCTTGGGTGGGAGATGTTGAGGGTCAACACCCAGCTGAGAGGTTGATGCCCTTTGGCAAACAGAGGCACTCAGGTTGTTGCAGCTGGGTGCTGGGGCAGACAAGGGTCCTGTGGCCTCAGCAGAAGCCCTTTCACCACCAGGAATTAGCCCACTATGGCTGTGGTCCCTTCATGCTCACATCTGCCTCACCAGGAGATGCAGGTGGTAGGAGGCCAGCCTGATCTCCCATGACACTGATTATAAGCTGATCTTGGACTATGTCATTTGTCATTCTCCATCTCTCCTCCACGTCATTTACAACCCAAGGCCTTGCTATAGGAGCTGAAATAAGAACAGCAATTATCCCTGATCTACCTTGGAAATCTGTGAGGAATGATGGGTCACTGGGAGGTTTGACTTGAGGGCTGGAAGACGATGCTGGAGCTGGCAGATCTGGGCAAGCAGCCTGGGCAAGGTCTGCCAGCGAGATCCCAACTGCTCTGGGCTGGAGAAGAGAGGGAAGGAGGCTGCCACCTCAGTTCTCCTTTCCCAGGGAAGGCATCCCATTAAAACTGCCTCATATCTCTTTGGCATTTTCACAGCTTTCTCAGCTCTGAGCAGAAACTGCTCACAAACAGCCACGTCCCATTGCAGGGGGCTGTGTTAACTGCCACTCTGACAGTAATCTCCTCTGCACTGTGTTGCACCAGGCTATACCCAGGAATTATCAGCAATGGTTTTATATCCTGCTGTGGCTTTATGACCCCACCAAGATCATAAATGCATCTAAAGTCTAACTAAACCAATTTGATTTTCTCCATAAACACTTATAAAGAAAATTATGGCAGTGCTATTCCAAAGGGGAAGGAAGGTCATAATCCTTGCAGCTAACAAGAATTTTCTCCTCTACTGACTTGCTGTTCAGGCACAAAACTGCCCCATTACTCATTGCTCCATGGCTGATGCAAAATCCTGATGCAGCCTCCCTGGGGAGTGGCTGTGATGGGCTGCAAGGACCCTTGGAGAGAGGTGCAGCGTGCCCCAAGAGCTGTCCCCCAGCTGCATCCAGGGAACACTGAGCACACTTGTCCATCCAGCCCTGCAAGGCTCATACTGGCCTCTTCAGTCAATTTACCTTCATCTGACACTCACACCCTTGCTCCAAGGACCTCCAAGCAGCTGGGCATACCATGCTCTTTAATCCACTTGAAACAGACTTTTGACCACAAGAACACGTTTTCCTGAGCAGAGCCAGTAGGATTTTGTTTCCATACACTTTATTTACAACAGATTCCTGTCCCTGGGCTCCTGAGTGGCTCTAGCCAAAGCTAGAGTTCCCTTCAGTGGGGTATCTTTGGTGCTGCATTTCCAGGATGAGGCCAGGAGAATATTCACATACTAAATATGCAGCATAGAAGGTGTTTTTACAGATGGAGCTAATGAAATAAAAGCTATTCTCTCACTTGGCAATACTGCGGAGCCTTCTGAGCTCACACCAGGGACTCACCCTCAGGATGCAGAGCAGAGCCAGCAGGATACTGCCCATCCCAGCCCAGCAGAAGGAGAGGTCCCTGTGTCCGTTTCAAGGCTCCCTCCGGCTGCGCGCCCAGTGGTGCTGGAGGTGTGAGACTGCCCTGCCCCACTGCTACCAGTGACAGTGACAGCACCGTGCATGCAGCTGCACAGCATCCAGCTGTGTATGTGGAAGGCAGCCCAGATTCTTCCAAACGCTGGGAGAACCGTAGCCATTGCAAGCTGCAGCACAGTTTTTCCTGATTTACAGTGTATGAAGAGCAGGTGGGGATGTCAGATACCTTTTATGGGGAAGAAACCTGTAATTCCAGCCATGGAAGTCATGTAAACCCCTGTCTATTAATAACAGCAGGGGAAGGCACCTCTCCTCCCCTGCAGCTCACAACACAGAAGGCAAGGAATGTCAGCTGAATGAACCCTATGCAGCTCTCTGAAACTTCTTTCTTTGTTTGTAAGGGAAGTGTTTTGCTGTTGCCAAGTTTGTTGCTGTTGTTCTGTGGCCATTGAGGAGCTGCAAACTCCATGCAGCAGGGTGTTTGGAAAATAAATGAGCCTCTGCAATCTGTTTCCCACATTGACTCTGGCTGTGTGGGAAGAGAAGGGCAGTCTGAAAATAAAGGTGGCAAAAGATGAATATACATTAGTGAGTGAAGGAGCGAGTGGGACTGGTGGCTCTCATCCCTGCTGCAATCAGGCCATAACCTCCGCTGCTGCACGTCTGGGGAGGTGAGTGAGTGGCTTTGTTGTCTAGCACCCGAAGTTGCCTTGGGGTGTTCATTTCTCCACAGTGCAATTTGTAAAGGAATGCACCACAAGAGAGGATGTCTTTCCCCAGTTATTCTGCATTGGGCCACCATATGGGCACTGGAAATGCACACAGAAGGAATCGACACATAACAAGATAAAGGTCTGTCTGTGAGCTTTCCTGGCTGCAGCCCCTTTCTTGTGTGTGGGTGCACACCTTGAGCTGCACAGCCAAGAGGCACAGCACAGGAGCTGCTAACCCTCATGCTTGGCCTCCGAGCCTGGGGCTGTGATTCCCTGCGGGGAAGCGGGAAGCACCACGAGTGGTCCTCAGAGGAGTCGATGTCAGACCTTGCCTACAGCTCCTCCCTCCTTTGCCTTAGTGTCCCGTTTCAACCCTCCCTCTCCCAGTAACCAGCCCGATGGTGGTTAATACCAGGGTGCCACGGGGAACAGCATTTTTAGGCGTAAAGCTTGGGTCGTTCACAGAGCCCTGCAAAGCTTCCTCCTGTGGTTGCCACTGCAGCAGCGATACCTGTTCTGCGGCAGCACCTCTAACACAGGACAGGGCTGTCCCATGCTGGGGGCCCTTTCAGCCAGCTCCGAATGTCACCCTGTCAGCGAGGGCACGGCTCCAGCCCGGAGGTGCTGCCGCTCACCCCCTGCTCCCGCACATCCCTGCCGGCGAGTGCTCCGGGCGGTGGGTGCGCTCCGCTCCGCTCCGCCCCGCGCCGCACCTCCTCCGGGGCCAGAGGCAGCGCTTCGGCCCCAGCCGCTCGGAGCAGCGGGCACCGGCACAGCCCCGCTGCCCCCGGCGGCGGCGGCTCCAGGGACGGAGGCGCTCGGGGTCGGCCCCGGCTTCAGCCGAGCAGCGCGGCTCGATCGTGCCCCCCAGAACCCACCCGAGACACGGGTCCCGGCACCCACGGCACCTCCTGCCCCACAGCCCTTCCGACAGGGACAGGGGTGAAACCCCATCCAAGCTCCTCTCCCACAGGACAGCCCTTGAGAAGCCGCTCGGATTATCCACCAATTCGCAATGTCTGCTGAAATCCACACCTTCCCCATGCCTGCCCCATGCCTGCTGCTGACAGTTCATCAAAGTCTTTTATGCATGCTCTGAGTGCAGACTAAAACTGCTCTCAAGTACATCCCAAGCCTGTCCCCATTAGGCAACAGTCCTTACACACAGCTTTATAAAGACACCTGGAAGTTCAGGTCTTCAGCATCCTGGAGAGCATCCTTGTCCTTGCTCTCCTCCTGCTGGACACGGTACCACCGTTCAGCAAACCGCACGGCATCGTGGATGCTGTGGAAAGCCAGCTGCCCACCACTGTCTGCCTCACCAGCCCAGCCTCCCTCCCGGAGCCGGTGGCGGAGGGAAGGGTTGCAGTTGGCCAGGAGTACCTGAACACCAACCTCCTTATAGTCATGACGTGTCTCCTTTAGCACTGAGAGACCCACAGTATCTATGAACTGCATTGCCCCACAGTCAAGGATGAGGGTGTGCATGTCTAGGGAGGGAGGACAGGCATCCTCTGGAGGCTTCCCAGACCTTTTCTTGGCTTGCTTCAGGCAGACAAACCTGGTGCCGAAAAAGCTCTTTCTCTTGCCTGGGTCTGCATTTGCCTGGGCCTCCACCTTTTGGTGCTTAGCAGTCAGCAGGCCAGGATTTACCCCCGTTTTCTCATAGAGAACAGTCTTGAAATAGTCCTTGTTGGCATAGTAGAGAGATGACTCGAAGCGGAAGATTTTGATGTTGGCAATGCTGCTGAGCTGCTTGTATGTGGACTGGTCCTCATAGATTTCTGTGCTGCTGACCTTGCCCAGCAGCGTGGCTCGGGGCCTCTGCGTGCGGAAGATGACACAGAGCAGAGCGAAGCAGACACCCACGAGGAGCCCAATCTCCGTGGTGATCAGCGTGGAGCACAGCATGGTTGTCCACCACACCACCGTGTCCAGCTTGCTGAGCTGCCACATGCGGGGGATGTCACAGAACTTGCTCAGGCCCCCCCGCAGGTTGACAATGGTGACCACCCCCAGGATGGAGGTCTGCAGTGAGTAGAAGAGCGGGGCAATCCACAGCAGCACTAGCAGCAGCACCAGAGAGGTGACCAGGCCAGAGACCTGGGTCTGTGTCCCCGTGGACTCCTTCAGCAAAGTCTTGGTCAGGGCTGCAGAGCTGGCAAAGCAGTAGAAGAAAGAAGGGATGAGGTTGCACATGCCAATGGCAATCATCTCTTGGTTCGCACGGACAGGGTAGCCATACTTTTTGCCAAAGATTTCTGCCAGGGAGACGGTCATAGCAAAGCCAATAACAGCAATGGGCACAGCATCAACTGCCAGGCTGGAAAACAGGTTTATATCTGGTAGAGTGGGTTTCCTGAAACCAGTGGGGATATCCCCACAAACATCAGACTTGTATCGCTCTTCAAAGTTAAAGTAGTAAGATACTACTGTGGCTACAATGACCACCAGCAGCTCTATGGGGAACGGAGCCTTCATCTTCTCCTTATACCGGTCATTGATTTCTTTGACAGGCACTATGATGGCCAAAGCAACCAAGCTGGTAACCAGGTCACAGATGTTGGTGTTCTGGATGTATCTGAAAAGGTCAATCCATGTGAGGATGAAGGACCCTACCCCTTCATGACGAGGGATTTTCAGTCCCAGGAGATACTTCATCTGGGAGGTGATAATGGTGAGGCTGGAGCCGGTCACAAAGCCACTGAGGAGAGGTTCTGACAGGTAGACAGACACAAAGCCCAGCTGTAAAACCCCCAGCAGGATCTGAAAAGCAAGCCAGCCATACCTTTAGCATCGATGAGAAGGGCTGGAAGAGGTGGCTGTCAATTTATGTCAGTTTGCTTTCACTTCTATTCTGTCTGCTGAGCAGTCAGTGTGAGGCAGGGTACTTTGTCTTCAGTAGTTAATCTGGGGTACGACAAACTAAAGAGACCTACCTATAACACTTGTCTGTGGTTAGGGTGCCATACAAAGAAGCCTATAAGGTCCCTACCACTGTCTCCTTACAAGCAATACAGGCACATAGTTAACACAAAGTCCAGGCAGCAGCCCCATCAAAACATCACTCAGTGGCATATAACTGGTGTGATGCACAGAATATTAGTTGTCCCAGTGCAAGAGCCTGAAGCTGTTCAATGACAGGAAGGCTCAGGCAGTGAGGACATCCCCAGGGAGCATGGGCTTTGAAGGAGCCCCTGCTGATGGCAGGGCCTTTGAGAGCTGCTTTTGCCAGCCCCAAACCTGCTCTAACCTGCAGCAGAAGCTGGCCCAGCTCCAGGACTGGGGTAGTGGGAAAGTGGTTCTTTCTCCTCCCTTGCTGTGTCTGATCATAAGGACATACAAGGACACGGCCTGTCATACAGGAGGAAATACCCACCCCCCCCCTTCAGTTGTGTTTGTGGGTTTCTAAATCACCACATTTGATTCAAAGGTGTCAGGGTCTAGCCACATCAGGAAAGGTTTCTCACGACTTGTAAGCCTGAACCAAGACAGGAGCTTCAAGATCTTTAGCACAGAGAAGTTCCTAGCATGGAAAGGTCGTAAAGGAAACAGCAGAACAGCAAATATTTGTACCTGGTAAAGACCGACCAGAAAGCTCAAAGAAAGGGCCACAGTGATGGCATAGCAGCTCCTGTCACAGGCACTCGTCCCGTTACTGGAGGAGGTGGAGTTGCCCAGCAGCAAAGAGCCAGCGCTGTCATCACTGTACCCTGCTAGCTGGAGGTGCCGGGTCACAGACTGCCCAATCATCAGGCACAGGACGCCGAAGGAGCCCACAGAGTTATGGCGTGAAGTGGCCATAACAACATAGATGATGTTGCAGAAGAAGTTGGTGTAGATTCCGTAGATGGGATCCTGGTTGGCTAAGAGGGAGTAGGAGATGGACTGAGGGATGGCGACTATCCCCACCAGGAGCCCAGATATGACATCCCCAAGCAACTGTGTCTTGACCTTGTAACAGGGAAGCCAGTCCAGCACTGGGAACAGCCGACAGAAGAAGGTGATGATGGTTTGATGAGTGCATGTGCAGACCTCTCTGGCATTCTTTAGAATGAGTTCCTTGGTGCTGAAGTCTGCAGGCTCATACTCCTCCAGTTTGACATGTATAAAGTTTGAAGGAGGCTCTTCTGGCACTGGGGAGCACAGTGTGTCTTTGCTCTGTCCTGACTTCTGTCTTGACGTGTCCTCCATTGCACCAGGAGAGCTAAGGCAGGAGAGCAGGCAGCCATGAAGCGTTGCAGTTATGTACATAAGGTGCTTTGCTTAGCTCCAGGGCTCATGCAGATTGCATGGATACGTAAATAAAAATAACCTCAGACAAACCAAACAGAAAAGCACTTTCCCATAGTGCTGGTTAATTTATTGGTTTTCATTTATGGGCCTGATTAACCACAACCCTGAAACCATGGTTTGAACTGCATTCACACTGGCACAGGTGCCCACATCAGGGACAGAGCTGTAAAGCCCCCTGTGCTCCCTCCCAACATACCTCTTGTTTTGAAACAGTCCAGCAAAGTGGGCTAAAATCAGACAATATCATTTCACTGAACCTAACACTTCATCAGGAATTCTGCATTTCCTGATGACACATTCACTTAAGCAAAACCTGTTCTGAAAATGTTGGGATATTCCAAGTGATGCTTTGGGAATGTAACACACGGATAAAGGAGGCAATGTACAAAGTAATTTTTGCTTTAACACCTCAAAATATTGAAGTACATTGCTGACTTGCATCAAACAGGCCCATCACAGGGGCTCCTGTCTGCAGAATGAAAGCATCTCACTTCTTCAGTCTGGTTAAGTAACACAGGCACCTCCCAGAGCTGCTTCAAGATTTTCAGTCAAAATACAGGCACAGCGAAAACCTTTTTGTCAAAAATGAACAATACACACAGACAGGAGCTCTCCCAAGAGGAGATCCAGAGTGGCTGCAGTTCAGACACAGAACTGGGATGATGAGAAAGCCCATTCTCCTGCCCTACGGGTTTGTTTCACATCACTAGTCCATCCCATATCTCTTACCTCTGGCTGCAGAGACACACGGGGTGTTTCCTCACTACCTGGAGCTTCTCCCTTGTGGACAGATCTGTCTCCTCACCTCGCAGCACACACTGAACAAATCAAGCTTGAGGCTAACGACTGCAAACCTGTTGCCTTCGCCTTCCTTCTGGATCCTGTGCCACTTCCCTTGGGAAGAGATCTGAGTTACTCAGCCAAGCAATTGGCCCTTTTATCTAGCTCCAGCCGATGAAGATGGTGCAGCCAGCCAAACAGAGCTGTATTTTGAAAACAAACATCGTTCTGGGGGAGTATTTTTGATGAAAACTTGTTCTGGCCATTAAGAATAATTGAAGGGGTTTAGAGAAGTGCTCCTGCCAGATAACAGTATTGCTGGTATCTGGAGATGTGTTTGCTAAACAAGGAGAACGATGCAAAGAAACCTTCATGCCTGTGCTATTGCTCTGCCCCTCCCTGAACTGAGAGTGCATGGTGGCCCAAGTCCTGCCGGGCTTCTCCACTCAGGTTTTCATCTGTTCTGGACAAGCTTTTGTTCCAGAAACCAATCAAAAAGCACAGCTTGTTCCAGAATGACTTTTCTTTCCCAGTAGCTGCCCGCCTGCTCCCTGTGTGCCTGTATCACTGCCTGGCCCCTTCCAGAAGCACCAGCTTCACAGTGGCTTTGTTAGACACAGCTCTGCACAGACTGCAAAGGGGTGATGATGATGCAGGGTACTTCTAGGTAGATAAAGAACTCACGATGTGTCAAACCTGCACAGTCCACCTTCTGCACATGGCTTTTAGAGACCAGAGCGGATTTTTTTAGCACAAATGAAGGATTTTGCTTTGCAGAAGTAAGCACAATTCGGTAAAGTGCAGGTTTGCATTTCTTTTGTAGGTAAAGGCGATCAATTGCATTAGCAGTCAGGGAAAAAAGGTAACATTCCATCATCCTGCATTGAAACAGCAGCCTCATAAATACCTGCTGTAGTTGTTCTGCCCTTGTGATCCCTGCAAACAACCTGCACCAGACCTCTCAGCACACACTCCCACTCACCTCATTCTTCACCCTTTGTTTTCCATCTCTTTTCCATCAACCTAGTCCCCAAGATTTTGCTGGCTGTGCCATTGCTCTATGGAGCAGGAATAACGCCTTCCAGTGAGGCAGCTCGGCCCCTTCCTCTGCTTCTGGCACTGACTGTGTTCTGGGCTTGGGGAGGGGGCTGAGATCCCACAGCGTTAAGGGAGATGGTGTGGGCTATGGAGGCTATGGCTATGAGCTATGGCTGTGGGCCATTTTCATAAGGCTTTGATTTAGATGCTGGGGAGACACCCTGAGGGAAGAGAAGAAGAAGATGAGCATCCTGAGCTACATTTATCTCATCAGTGGAAGCCTGTATCTCAGTAATTAGAAGTAAATAAATAAGAAACATCAGTGCTCTCTGGCAGCAGGAAGAAATGAGAGCACATGGTAGAGGAGACAGCTGCTCAATGTATTTAGCTATTTATATGCATTCTTTATTCTCTGCCAGTCCTCCACAGCTCATATATATTTTCAGGTACATCTGTTGATAGCCCCCCTTCCCCTTCTTTCAGTAATGGACTGTATCTTTCCTTAATATTGTCGTTCCTCCTGTCTTTAAAAGATGATCCCTTTGTATGCTTTATAATCCTTCCTAGACATTGCTCATGATGTGTCTTGGCCTGCCTGATGTAGTCTCTACTTACTGATTTAGATTTTCCACCTTCTTCCTCAACAAATGACCCAGATTTCTATTTTCTGTGTGGTTCCTTCATCCTGAAGTTCAGTCACTGAAGAACTGGTGAGTCAGTCACCAAAGAGCTGGCCAGGCTGGTCTTTTAAGTCAGCGTGTTTGCTGGGATGACACACATCTGAGCACAATTCATCTCTGGGGTTTGATCTTGTTTAGGAAGCATTAATTTCCAGTTCTGCATCTCTGACCTGTCCACCATGAAAACGGGACAAAGCCTTTTTCCATTTGTGACAGGATCCAGGCTACCTATAACCTCTCCCCTGCCTTCACAGCTTGCTGCTGCTTTTCTTTCCTACTGCCACCTTCACTCACATAATCTGGAATTTTTGTTTACTATGATTTGTTTTACTACCTGATATTGCTTGATGAGCCATATAGCCATGCTCTTCCACCTCCTCAGGGAATAGGTTTTGGGGAGCAGTTCTTTTCCATTCCTTCTGCCTCTGTGCCTCCCCTGCCATCCTCCCCTACACTTTTTTCCTCCCTTTCTTGTGCACAGATTCCCAGTTGCTTTTATACACTTAACTTTAAAATATTCCATACTTTCACTGCAATTACATTCTCAAGCTCCTTGTCCCAGCTGGCTTCCCCATGCATTTCTGTTCTGCAGAGGTTCTCGGTACCAAACTCTTCAAAACAGCAAACCTTCATGCTAGGGCAGGTTCTGCGCAGTCCTCTCTGTGATGGAAGTTCAGGCTGTGGCTTGGAGGTCATTTTATGTTCGCCATCCTAGCAGAAGGGGTGTAAGAACATAGTGACACTGAGCACTGTGTACATCTCTGAAACCACTTCTACCGCATGAGGTGAGGCAAGGGCAGGAACTGCAAACACTTCACCTTTGATCTAGAATATGTGTGTAAGACAGCTTAAAAAAGAAACCCACAACAGAACTTCATGTGACCTTGAGCCGAGTGAGGCTGCACTGCTCCAAATGCAAGGTCACTACAGCTAACTCCTGAAACTGTTTGTTTTCAAACTCAACTTGAAGAGCCGTTCTTTATTGCCACTATAAACTCACTTAACTGTTTAGCTCCATTCTGGGCAAGGCTGGGTTGGGCAGATGGTATCAGCCTGAACCATGCAACTGTAGGCAGTATGTTGCCTGCCAGCAGCATGGCACCCTCTGTTTTCAAGACAAGCAGAAAGCATGAAATCCCAAGTTTGCACTTACGGCATAGTATATGAGGAATGTAGCATTCATCTATGCAACAGCCATTGCAGCAGGCTAGCAAGAGAGCAGCACAAGTCCAAGTTCCAGGTACATGGAAAATGCAGTAGTGGGCTGTTGTCTTTCCTATCCTAAAGTAGAAAAAACCCATGAAATTGTGTCTGAGATTGTTACCCAGGCACTTTGCAGTGGGTAAGTGCTGCAAATTCAAGTCTCGCCACTGTGTCAATGCACCAATTCTGTTTAGCAGGATGAGCTGGCATCACTCATTTCCCTTAGAACAGAGCTAACTGCACTGCACAAGGATTTTTGATTTGCCTTAAGGCTTGTAAATACATTGACAACTGTTTGGCTTCTGGAAGCCTGTCAAATAGCAGCACACATGTCTTGGCTCCATAAATGGGCCAGCCTGGCTTAGTACACGGCTGCACCCCTCTGCTCCACAGTTACTTATCACACGCAGCTTTACAGAAAAACAAGGCAAGTGAGCCAGGTAATGGTGCCAGGTATCTAAGAGAGATGCTTGTCTTTCCCTTCAGATATGGGACTTGACAGTCTTTTCAGATGGCTGCTGGATCAGTTCCACTTGGAAATGATATGTCAATACATATACATTTGCAAATCATCTTCTTTCTTAAGGGAAATAGAAGGAAAAGGAGATAAGCCCAGAATTGGTCCCACTGCTGAGACAGAGCAAAATGCCACAAAAGCATCCAAAGGCAAAAAAGCTGAACAGAACCTCTTGGATGGTTTCTTGGGAAGCAATTATTCACGTTTCTGCAAGAGATAACAACAGAGAACGTGGAACCAGCGCACCAGGACATCCCAGAAAATAGAACAGCTTTTGCAGCTTCCCACTACTTTGCAAGGAAGTTTATGCTAACACACAGGGATCACAGCAGAGCATGCAATGCGAAGACGAAGTTCTCTCCAGACACAAATACTATGAGGCAAAAAATGTCATTCACCCTGTGACTGCACATGGTAATGCAGTCACAGCACTCCAGAGTTTGAGAGGGACCAGGGAATCTACAAATAAACATGATAAAGAGCAACTATTTAAGCTACAGCTCACTCCCAGCAATTAACCGTGCAGACAGACATGCAAGGCATGTTTTTTAGTCTATTTTGAAAGCTGTGAGATGGACCATATGTCCTTGCAAAGCAACTAAGTGCAGAGGTAGCAGATCTAAAAGAATGTGGCTGCAGAGGTCACACACCCATCAACTGTGCAGCCACTGAGGACGGTACACAGCGGTCCACTCTGCTAACATCCTGCTACAAGCCCTCCCTCCAGCACTGATGCCCACTCCTAGGAGATGGAGAAAAGAAACATTTCCAAGCACATCACAGTAAGCATTTGAGGAGCACTCCCAATTTATATAAGGAGGGTAAAAATAATTCCCTGCTAACTTCTGTGGCACTTCATGCTGTTTTCATGTTTTTCTCTGCATGACGAATGTCCAGTGCTTATGACCCTTTTCCAAATGATCAAGTTGGCAATTGAAAATGCTATAATGGCTCTGTAAGCAGATTAAATAGATTACAGATGAATGCAGTGGAATAAAGTCAGGGAGGCACATCTTTATTTCATACTGAACTGGCATTCAGCCCAGGTCATTTGGCATCAGTTCAGGCTCGACCCGTGTATGCTACTCACGAGCCCCCCATGGCACCAAGGCCGTGTTGGCAGGATGCTGCTTCCCCCTGTAGCTGTTGGCTGGCTCACAGGGTCACCCTACCTGTAGGTACAACTTGCCCCACTGCAGCATGGCAGGCTCTGTGTCAGGCAGAGCTGCGCGGGCTCCTGAGCTCTCCCAGCAGCATGCACCAGCTCATGGCACACCAAGGCAGTGGACAGGCAAGCTATGGAGGGTACATCTCAACACCACAGGACAGAAAGACGTTCCTGCAGGTGGGTAAGAAGCCCAGGAACTGCAGCACATCTCCAACTACCTGCTATACAAGACTGGATCTCCTATTAGATTTCAAACTGAAGGAGAAACTTTTCCACACAACAAAGCAGTGAGGCAAGCTGCCACAGGGTGTGGTGGGAGTCAAGATGATAGTAAAGGAAACGTGAAGGAAGCTTCATGAAGAAGTGCTGCAAAAGCTGTGACAAAGGTCTAAGTGCTCAGGAAGTTTCTAGCCTGCTGCTTACCAGGCACTGGCAGGGCTCTGCATGGACTGGATCCCTGATGCACCTTTCCCAATCAGCTTCCACCAGCCTGTGACCCAGGAGACAGGGCTGGGGGGTCTCCTCTAGTGCAGGAATATGTTTGGTGAGAATTAGTTGTTCACAGGTAAGACAGGGCCTTGAGGAGCACAGATAAAGGTGCTGCTGATTGCCCCTTAGCTCTGTATCAGCATGAATCACTCATTCAGCTGAAGGCAGTGGCTGTCCCATGCTTTTCAAAAAAGCAGAAAGCTCCTGCTGGCATTCCCCATAATTGAGTGCTCCTACGGCTCTTTTGGCACCAACACAAAAATAACACCATGGGCTCTGAGGTTTCCTAAGGTAAAAGGCATCCTCAAGTAAGAGCTGAGCAGTGCTCGATTAAGAAAATCTTTTGCAGAACTCAAGGACATGATAATGCTCACAGTAACTGCCCAGAACTGCACCCAGAGCTGCTCTAATTTCTGCTCTGACTGACTGGCCATGACCTGACCAAGTCATATAACTTGTTATGTCAACACTGAAATACATTGCAGCTATTTTGTAAGGCTAAATCTGTAATACCACGTGCTGTAAGTACACATATTGTAAAGTGCAAGTAGCACCAAACCTGAACAAATCCGTCGTTTCTTGCATCACCTGGCCCACAGGAGGGTGCTGCTCACCGGCAAACGGCACATCACTGCCATCACATTGCTTATCACTTGTTACGAGACAAGCTGCAGGCTGGCTGTACAGAGAACTGAAGTCAGAACAAGGTGAAATCCTGCTGCTGGCCACATATCGTCAGTCAATGCCCCGTTTTCATTGCCAGGGAACTTCCATGTGTGCCTATTATGTGTGTACCATACAGTGCAGGAGAGCAGTGCACACAGCTGTGTATACACTGAACCTTACAGCAGGGATGGAGCACAACTGTCAGGAGAAATGGGGACTGGGGACTCAATGCTCAAATGTGTGTGGCTTCTCTTTTTAAAATGTATAGCTGCAGCATCTCCTAAGCTAGTAAGCACATGTCTGACAACAGAAAAAACAAATACAATCTTTTAATGGTGATCAAGAAATCCCAAAGATTTTACCATATTTGATAGAAAATTCTTGCTAACAAATCTTCTACAATGACAGTAAGGCACATTAGTGTTTAAAAATGACAACTGATAAGAGAGCTAACAGCATAAAGGAGAGTCAACAACATGCTGATTCTGACACCATAGCTGATTGCAGGACAATAGATGATGATGGACAAAATACAATTCAGATCACAATCGTTTGGTCGGTGAGCACAGCACTCAACAAGGAGCTGATGGCAGCACATCTCCCCCATGCTGGGCACAAGGCAAGGCCTGTGTTAGCCATCCAGCGTGGGCTGATGCTCCCCCAGCACCCTTGATTCCACCACTGCACTGGGGGAAACATTATACCTTGGGTTTACTGCACAAATTAGTCACAGTAAGAAGCGATGCTTAATACATTCTATACAATTTTTAAACGTTATTCAAATAAACCATTTTGTAACCTGGTTAGGGGTCAGACGACCAGTGTGATCTACTCCAGGAGGTCCTGTTTGGTTAAAATGGTTCTCGAGCCTGAAAAAGCTACTCTAGGCAAAATCTGCCATTTGGTTTATTCTGAAAAATATTATGTCACAAATGTCTAAAATTACTCTGAATTTAAAATAATTAAATAAAAAATCATACCCTGGAGCATAGCAAGACACCAGACATGATGGTCAGGGACGCAAGAGGCCGATGAACTCAAAGCATCATGTGCTTCCCAGAAAACATGAAGCTTTACCTCTCCTTCACCATGTTTCAGCTGCATTTCAATTATACAGAAAATGTACTTCCTTAAGTTAAAAATTAGACATAAAAAACTTGCACCCGAGTCCAGCAAAATGTTTCACTTCCTATCTTCCTGTGGAGTCCTGAGATCATTTGGAAGCCAGACTAAGAGCCAAGTGCTTTCAAAGCTGGAGAGAGATGGAATTCAAACACATATTTTTGGCAGTAAATATACTCAGTGAAAATTTGATTCTCCATCCAATGCTGAAATACTTTCTGTATTTGCCCACTAGAGAACAGCAAAATGCCTTAGCATATACAATCTATAGAAAATAAACCAGAAAGGTACTAATTATACTATGAATTTTTATATATATATAAAAATAAAAATATTTGCCATTTTACCTAACCAGAGGCCTCACTTTTAGCATTGTAATGATCTCAGAAGAAAAAGCAAGATTCAGAATTATTTCTCCTTCAGATAGAATCTGACTGAAAGTAAAAGATCAGGTAATTTTTCACATGAGCAGCTGATCCTACAAAGGCTTACAAACATGATAACCAAGTGCAAGTCATTCTTGGGACTTAACAAGGTCATTCACAGTGCAAAGTCTGCACTAATGATACTGTTCCTTTTTTCTATGCCAGCAAGTAGAAGTGCAAAGCTCTTCTAGTGTGGACAGTTACATCAATATGGAAGTCTCACAACAGTATCTTGTATCAAGACTCAGCAAAGCAAAATAAGTTACGCAGATACAAAGCACCTTGGAGGGCATGAGCAGCCGGTGCTTGTCACAGCTTCATTAGCTTAACCATATTAGTATCAAAATGTAAATCACCTCAATCATGTAATCACCTTTCCAAAGCATGTGAAAAAAACAAGCAACATAAGATAATGCCCTAAAACAAACTATTTGCCTGAAGAGTTTCACCCTCAGCTCAAAGGTTTTCTCCTGTTCCAGTTTCTATGATCCTCCTCCAGACCTGCAGCTCCCTACAGCCTAGCCATGCTCCTCACTGTGCTGGGACGTTAAGGTCAGTGCTGACCAGTGTGCCCAGCTGCAGGGCCAGCATGGGTGTTCCTGCGCTGGTTTCAGAGTGGAGACGTGTGGGTGACAAGTCTTCTAGTTGCTTAAATGCAATCTGCACCAGCAGCGCTGGAGATGACAGCAAGTAGCCAAAGCATGGTGGGGAAGAGTGAGGTGGCACAGCCCTTGAGTGAAAAGGCGCAGGGAACTGCACCCAAGGAGACGTGCAGTGTTGCTGGCCTTCTCAAGAGAGGTCTGGCCAGAGAAAGAACGGAACCCACCACGTAAGACCTAGATCTAGGACCTGGCACAGGCAGAGTACACAGGTGACCTCAGCACAAGGCTGTGGGAGGCAGCTGGGTATTGCCCAGCTCAAAACCATGCTGTGGCAGGCAGGATGCTTTCCTGTCCCCAGTACCTCACCTCTGCATTTCAGATGCATCAGCAACAGACTTTTATATCTCTTTCAGAAGGAAATGGAGACATATATACCTTACATATGTAGTTCAGGACAGTGACCCATGCAGCAGCACTGAGCAGGAACTAGGTCCTGTGTTATTATTACACTCATTACAAAGACACATCGCTGCATAACACAGGAGCCCCATAATAAAGACACCTTCACCTTATCCATCCTTTCTGGGCAGCACTGTTACTCCTTCAGCTACACAAACCCTCACACAGCCCATACCAGACTGAGGCTCCAGTGTGTTCATGGAGGGAAAGAAACCGTGGTACTCCCCTGCCAGCTGCCCATAGCCCCCTTTCTCCCATCCCCAGCATGTGGGGAACTGATGGGGGTGTGGGGTTGGTTTACACACTCTCTTCAGGAGCTTTATCCTCACCAAAAGATCTGGCAGGTCACATGTAATAGCAATATACACAAAGACAATGATTCTTCTATTTACTGTTGATTATATGCAAAGTCTTACAGCAAAACACAGAAGTGTCAAGAGGGTGGAGGTGGGTCTCACACTGAATTTGGGAGGTGCAGATGGAGCTTCAATGGAAATCAGGATCACTAAATCACACAAGACTATGGTTGGCAATCTCATTATAAATCCAAAACTAAGCACCACGTGACCCACTGCAGTACCTCTTCCTGGTTTTTGAATTGGACTGAAAATTGTTTCCATGTCAAAACGTTCACACAAGTGAAACATTTATTAGTGCAACCGCCACATGAGGAGGAACTGAGCCCACTATCTATAGCAGCAATAACCATAAAAATAGAGTCTGACATTTAGCAGGAGACTAATAAAGACATTTCTCAGGAGTCTTTAGTATAGCTGGGACTGTGAGTGTTAATTTCCATAATGCTGTGTTGTTGTCATTAATGAATGTGCTAATGATCTTAATTCTTCATTTAGACTGATAATTGCTGATTAGAATGTTTGGGAATGGAGATTAACTGATTTACACCATATCCCACTCTGGCCTTGGGCTCTGAAGGTTGCACCTGGGATGAACATTCCTATTGCTGACAGATGCATAAACCCAAACACAATCCTTCCAAGATTCCCTCTTCCTATAGATTACAAATTACATTGAGAGGCAGGGATAAGAGAAAGTGTAGAAGGCAGTGGGTGCACCAAATTTCCCCTTATAAAATCTGGTATATGTTTTCCACTGTTCATTCAAAACAGCAGAAGGCAGAACCCAAGTACTGCAAAAGCATAACTGGATATATATACCTGCTGCATTCATAATAGAGCAGCAAAAGTGTGTGTATCCACATACATACAATACGTACACCCATATATGTGTATGTGTAGATACACAAAAATCCTTTATAAAACAAATTCTTGAGGGCAACTATTTTTAACCTAATTCTTAAACTTGAAATTGGATTATTTCTAAAGGGTCCATAAACATACTTAAGCAAAATGTGCTTCTTGCCAGTAGACTTAAATCAGTTTCATGTCTCTGTTAAAAATTATTCTATGCCTCAAAGAAAAATGGCTGAAACCCCACTGTTCTAAGTAATTCCAGACATGATAAACTCTAATCTTCAATTAATCCAAAGGACTCTCTATTATACCAAACTCTCTGGAAAATGCCATCTATTTCTGTTAAGTTTTAAGCAGGGCTCTATGTATTAATCTAGTCTTATTAATACTACGACCTCTGGATGTTATCTTTAAGAACATTAAAAGTTGTTCTTTTGGTTGACTGGCTGCTTTTGCTGTTGCATTTTAGTACGGCTTCTTGTGTTTTGCTTAAAATGGAATTTAGAGGCTATGTTGCCAGTCATGTCTGCAGAAACAGCAGTGAAGCCAAATACAATAAATCACCCCAGTATATCTTTCAGCTGTAATCTAAATTAATTATTTGAAAATCAATTTATGGCTATTTTATTGTGCTTTTATGCAAACAGATGCCCAGGAGCTACAAATATGCATCCTGCTAGCTGTGTAAAGTGTATACTTCTTGGAAGCAACACTGCTATTCCTCTCTTCCTGACACAGGTAGAAATGGATTTGAAAGAATATCTTTTAATAAATAATTATTGGTTTTCCCTTTCTCAGAATCTGGCTACACAAATCTGTGCATGGTCACAGATCAAAATATCTCCACCTGGGCAGCATGAAAAGAGTACAGGAGAGAGGAATTTTGAGTGTAAAGGATCAGCCAGAGCCATTTACTATTTTACTTCTATCCCACCCATAACTGACCTGCCTCAAAGGAAGTCTCTTGGCCAGCTGCTCATTCATCCTCTCCCTCTCAGCTGCCCATGCCTATGGGGTAAAGGGGTGAGAACACGTAGCTGCGGGTAGGCAGAAACATGCAATAACAGCACACACTGCTTACTGTTGGCCGTACTGCAGTTTTTCATCAGGGCTTTGAGAAGACATTCTGCTCTCTGGCACTGCTCTGCTCTCTTGAAAAACATTAGTTGAAAAAAAATCAGTGTCTAAAAGGGGCAGAGGCTCTAGAGATGCTTTCTGGTAACGTGAACAAACTGTGCCAAAAAGGGACTCCCCCAGCACACAGCACTGCCACCAGCTGAATGCACGTGTGCAGGTCTACGCAGCTCCCCTGCCACCACCCAGCACAGTGCCAAAGCAGCCATGGTGCCAAACCCTTCCCAAGCCAGCACCCAGCTGCAGGAGCTGCCATGGTTGTGCCAGCTCTCTCAACACCAACCCAGCGGCTCTGAATGGGAACTCAATGGAAAACAGGTATGGTGAGGAATTAAACCATAATTCCCATCCTGCGCTCACTCCGTACATAGGCGTTAACTCCACTCACTGCTTTTATATGGCTTAGGCTAATCCACTCTGGTAATACCAATTCAGTTACAATTATCCAAACCGCATAAAGGATTCTTAGCCCAGAATAAGAAAGTTCATGAAGGAGATTACTACAGAAAAGAAAAAAGTTCAGCAGTGGCTGTTTGGGATTCTCCTCCTTGTATACACATGCCTTAGGGCTGAGAAAGAACACCATTTGTGCGCTTTGAATACTGCAGAATCTTTAGCATTTTCTGATACTTGGGAGATTTGTTTCCTTAACACTGCCAGTTCTCAAACACATGAAGCACAGATCTCAGTCATGTACTCCTTTTCAATGTATGCAACAGCCACCCACCACCTTCCCCCCTATTGCTATATGCTGCTGTGATGTCTTACAAAACTGTACTAACTTCAGTAACATACAGACGCTGCCAGATCCTAGGACTCATCTTTCTGCTATCTAATCCTTGAGGTCCCAGCTCCTAGTGTGAAGTGATACGTCACAGACATACCGGCTTCCATAGGAAGAATAGTTACTACTCCTATCCGAGGAAAAAAACTAAACTCAAAATATATTTCTATTTAGAAAACAGTTCATAATTCAGATGGCATTTTATTCCTTTTTGACTCCTGACTCATTCTTGAATGATTAAGGATGAGAATACTATATTTATAGAGCAACTTTTCGCTTTCAAAAAGCTGTGAAGAACCTGGGAGAAACCACCATCTTCCAAGGATGTACAGTGCACTACATACAGCTGGAACTCAGTTTAAGCTGTTTATCTCTCAATTCTGCTTTCACAGTTGTATTATTGGTGTAAGAAAAGAGAACCTCTTCCTAACCAGCTTTTGTGTTTTAGCATAAAGAACAGGTACTGTTCACTGCTCTGCATAATTAAAGCCAAAGTACAAAGGTTTATTTACACTAACATTCAGCACAGAATTTCTCTGTCTCCTTTTCTAGCAGCTGTAGTTCTTGTCCTGTCCATCCCCATTACACAAAGCCCATGACAGAGCATGAGTAAAGGAGCTACAGTCAACAAAACCTGCATTCACACGTGAAATCTGTTCAACACTGACAAAATTAGACAGATGTTGGATATCTATTTGGCCCTTTTCGTTTTGGTGCCTGTGATCCTGTCTGCCTGGCATATAAAACTGGCTAAAAGGGACTGTTTTCTATTGAAACTCAAGAATTAAGCATTTTCAGTATCTAATGCCCACAATTCTAAGAGCTGTTAAATTTTAGGAAAACAAATGCCTGACCATAAGCATGAAAAGATTTCTAAACAGTCACATCTGAATAAAAAAACATTAAAAAGTTGAAGCTGAAAGGCAAGCTTTCATGGCATGTAAAGGCCTGTGTAGAAATGAGACAACCATGGCTTGCTGCCTGGCTGTAGTAGGCTCTCAGGAGACACTGGCAAAGCCTCTGGAGGTGACAGGTTGTTAGGAGCTATTCATTAAGAAAGTTCTTCATGCACATTTGCATTTCATTTATCTATCTGTCTCAAATTCAGGACGTTACAAAATCACCCATCAATCACTCAACAGCACAGACTAGAGCAAACAGTCCCCATCAGTCATTACTTAGAAAATATAAGGGTGTGGTGTTATGGAAAAGCAATGCCAGAATGAGCGACAAGAAATGAGTTGTCTCTCATTGTTCAGATGGACAGGGTACCCAGACTACTTCAAAATCCCATCCATAGAGACTGGGTTGCAATGAAGACTTATGAGGCTTATGATCAAAACTTAGAAGGGAACCAAGACATGTTAAGTTCTAGAGAGAAGAAAAATGAGATGAATAACCATATGAAAACTCTTTAAGATTCACAGATTGACCATAATCAAGTTAAGAATTGCCTTCATTCAATATCACCTAATGAATCACTATACCCAGCAGGCAAATTTAAAGCATCAAAACAGACCGCAAAGTAATCAGTGTGTTAACAACCACTCTGCTTCATTTTATCTGAGTGCATATATATTGCACAGATATACAGACCCACCACCATTATTTCCCCAAGCTTTGTTCCAACTTGCTGCCTTTCCACAGCTACTTCTTACAAACGCTAGTCCCACTGTGCCGCTGTGCACCCAATGCAAAGTCCACAGCCTGGTGCACACTGTGGAAGAGAAGGTGGTCTTCCCCCTCTTTAAAGAATTCTCCTCGGATCAGGGAACTCCTCACTGAAGGATTGCACTGGGCCAGAAGCACCTGGACTTCTATCTCCCTGTAGTCCTTGCAGACCTCTTTGAGCGTGCGTATTCCTGCCGTGTCCAGAAACTGTACTGCACAACAGTCAATCACTATTGTGTGAAATCCCAGAGGTTCAGAGACAAAATCCATGGAGATGCTGGTCTGGTTGCCACCAGAATCTACCTCTTTCTCTCTAAGCATTCTCTTTACTGCCTTTTTCTTTGCTGCTTTCACCCAGACTGGGTTGACCCCAGTTTGCTTGTACAGGATGGATTTAAAGCACTCTTTGTTGATATAGTAGAGGGGTGCTTCGAAACGGAACACCACAATTCCTGGCTTGGTTTGCAAGTTCTTGTAAGCAGACAGGGATTCATACGTCTCGGACTCCGCCACCCAACCAAGCAGTGGTGCCTCAGGTCTCTGAGTTCGGAAAATGACACAGAGCATAGAGAAGCAAACACCAACCAAAAGACCAATCTCAGTACTGATGAGGGCTGAGGCTGCCATAGTAACTAGCCAGATCACTGTATCCACTCTGCTCAAACGCCACATCTTTGGCAGGTCCCTGAACTTCTGCAGGGCTCCTTTGAGGTTTACAATGGTTATGACAGCAAGGACACATTTCTGAAGGGAGTAAAACAAAGGTGCAATCACAAGGAGGACTAATAGGATTACCAAACTAGTTACCATGGCAGACACTTGTGTCCTACAGCCTGTGGACTCTTTGACAAGAGTCTTCGCAAGAGCTGCACTTGTTATAAAACAATGGAAGAAAGAAGGAATGATGTTGCAGAAGCCAATGGCATACATTTCCTGGTTGGCCTTCACAGAGTAACCATGCTTCTTGGCAAACATCTCCGAGAGGGAGACAGTGATGGCAAAGCCAATAATAGCTAAGGGGATAGCATCCAAAGCCACATTAGGAATCAGGTTCCAGTCTGGAGGACGGGGTGGCAGAAACCCAGTTGGGATGCGTCCGGCAACGCTTGACCCGTAAGTCTCTCTCAGCTTCCCAAAGTGAGATGCCAAAGTAGCTGCCACAATCACGACTAGTTCAACTGGTATTGGAGCCTTGAGCTTGGATTTAAAATGATCATTAAGCTCTTTGGTTGGGATAAGTACAAGAAAGCACAAGATGCTGGTGATGAGATCACAGACGTTGGTCTTGTGTATGTTTCTGAAGATGTTTATCCATGTGGTTACGAGGGAGCCAATGCCACTGGTCCTTGGAATGTTTAGACCCAGGAGATACTTGGCTTGTGAGGTCAGGATGGTGAAGGAGGCACCCGTGACAAATCCACTCAGCAATGAATCGGAGAGGTACACTGAGACAAAGCCCACTTGAAAGAAACCCATGGCCACCTGGAAAGGATCAACCACACAACAGATTAAGATGCAGATCTTGGACATGTCATCACTGCGGGGCTCTGGAGCCCACTCTGGAGCACAAGGCATGGTCTAAGCATGAAGAAAACAGCCTCCAGCATTCAGCTGCTCCTCAATGAAATGCATTTCTAACACAAAGCAGGCTTTTGTGGGGGGTCTTCATACCCTGAACCTGTGTTTCTTGTTTGCTCGGTTTGATTGCAACTTCTTGTTACCCTAGCAGGCAAGAAAGCAAGCCTGGGGTGGGGAGGGAAGCATTTGAAATTCCCACTACCTTTGCCATTTCTCTCAAGTTCTTCTGAACTTTGCAAACTCTGCAAAGATCCAACACCTTTCTGGTTGTCTTTGACTTACACTGGAGCTCACAACCTGCAACAAAAGTACAGACTGTGGCATAACAGCTGTCCTTTGCACTGCATAAAGCTTGGTGCATCTGACATGAGTAGCATGAGCTGCAAACTCTTGCAATGCAGATTAGACAATATTTTTAAGTGCCTTGTCATTAATTTTTATTAATGCTAGTTGAAAGGGCAGCAGATAGAATATACCTAACATTTGGGTAATTTGACTCCTTCATATACAGAAACTTAATTGTACTTGTACTTGCAAAGAATATTATGCACAATGCACAACTCCAAAACTGCATCCATCCTACAGTGATGAAACACAAAATCCACTGCACCCCAGGAGTCCCAGAATATTGCCAAAATTACTCAACTCTAACATGCAGCACAGGAAAGCGTCCAAGACTGTGTCCAAAACAAGTGCACATGTACGTTTGCTTTCCCACCTATGTATAGTGTGATGAGCTATCACCCTGGAGGGAGGGCACCGTAAGAACAAATGCAGTGAATTCTAGGACTAGGTAGAGACAGAATGGTAAAATATTGTTGAATAACATATTTTAATAAGGTAATAATTAAAAGTTCTATTTAAAATACATTTTATCCTCTCAATAGTATCCTTTCCATATTGTATATTCGGTATTGTTTTGCTTTGAACAGACAAAGAGCCAAGGTTTACAGACACAAAGACAAATAAAAATCAATTGGAGAAATCTCTTACTGTCCAGGAAAATCTTTTACTTTCCAGATTATTTTTGATAAAAGGCAAATAATTGGAGTCTGGAATGAGAAGCTGACACACCACATTTGGGCCCAATGAAATTGAGGTTTATGCTATAAGCCAGAGAAAAACAAAATAGCTCCAAGTCACAGTGAGGAAGGTAGTGAGTTACTAGGTGAGAACAGCATGTAGTTATGTGCAGGTCCTTGCAGTCCCCAACAAAGTAGCAATGCAAGCACAAAATGCTATTAAAAAAGGAGAGGACACGGGAGTTTCTTGCACAAGAAGAACTGTAGATCTCCATAGCTCCTTGTGTCCACTCCCCTGGGATGCAGATTAAGGAAACATGCAAGCCCAGCAGTCTGTTCATGTGGCAATGACCTAAAGAATTAAAACTATTTCCACAGAATACCTGTTTGTCCACCTCCTCTTACCTGATAAACTCCAGCTATGAAGGTCATAGTGGCTCCCACTGTAATTGCATAGCAGCTTTTATCACAGAGCAACTCCTGTGATGTCCGATTCACAGGAGAACTGGTGGTGTTTGCATATGCTGCTGTAGCTGTGAGGCCACTGAGCGCTGCTGGCTCTGCATCATAGCCAGCTCTCTGTATCTCACGATCCACGACTTGTCCTACCATCAGGCAAATCACACCGAAGATGCCAACTGAGATGTGGCGGGAAGTTCCAAATATGAAATAAATAATGCCAGCGAAAAAGGATGTATAAAGGCCATAAATAGGCTCCTGCCCAGCCAAGAGAGAATAAGCAATTGACTGTGGGACTAGTAAGACCCCCACAATCACACCAGACATTATGTCTCCCAGTAGGTACTCTCTCAGTTTGTATTTAGGAAGCCACTGCAAGACAGGAAAGAAACTTAAAACAAAGTCTTTAACTTTGGCTGGAGTGCAGCTACAAGTTTTCTTTGCTTGCTTAACCACCAGAGCCTTCATGCTCTTCTTCTTCTCTTGGGGTTCCAAGAACATTCCATGATGGAAACCACTTTTAGGATTGTCTCCTTCTGGCATTTCAGTCACTGAATGGATGCTGTTGAATTCTGCCATTGCTGTCATCTCAAGGACTCCCTAAAAACGCAAAGAAGGATTGTTTTCATTAAACCATAAATGAATGTGCTACATGAGACTCTTTAATAGAGTGAATACAGTATTTATGAAAAGAGTGGGCTACAAGCCTTAGCTCAGCACAGAGAAAGCAATTTCCAAGCAAACTTGCGAAGAGCCTCCCCATTATATCCCCGTTAAACAAGGAATCCCCTTTCCTAGGAGGGAAGCTGATATCCCATAGAATCAGCTGGCAATGTTGTGAAATGGAAAAGAATGCATCAGCACCATCTCTCTGGGAGGCTTCCTTGATAAAAATCAGTACCTGCAACCTGTTCTACACAAAGATAAGACATGGGGTTCATTATAGTCCAAAAGTTACTTCAATTCAGTTGCTGAAAATTAACTACAATTAGTATATTTCTAGCACTGCACAGCTTGGTCTAAATCTCATATGTATTTTAAAATGCAGAGATTACACCCGTCAAATATTGTAAAGATTTGTTATCCAAGAAGATGCACTCGTTAAACAGTTGCTTTCTTTCAGCCAACAACATTGCAAAGAATGCTCTTCACACTTAAAAGCTGGCTTTCAAGTAAATTACATCTGAACAAAACAACAAATACAAGTGGAAATCATATTAATGCTCTAGTATTTGATATAATCACAAGGTAATTGTATCAAAGCACATTTAATACTTAAAACATATTGCCTCATTGTGAAAGAGCAAAGTCTTAACAAAACAAGCCCTAACAAAACTTGATGATACATACCAACAGTGATTGCCAGCATTCAGACAGCACCCCCAGTTTCCAGAATCATCCAGAAAACTCTCTTTCAGCTGCAATACCTGCTACTACTTGTATGTTGAAGTCGGTAAAACTCAGCCAGAAACCCATTGACCTGGTGCTACAGTGGAGGTCAAGGCCAGAGACAGCAGCAGCACCCTGAAAAGTCTAACTCCCAGGCTTCCCTTTCCAATACTGCCTAGCAGCCCTGGAGTGCTAATAAACAACATATCCCTTATGTGCTGACTACACCTTTGTGCAGTGCAAACATCAGCCAAATTAATGTTCTACGCAATGTTTACCACTTAATTACCAAATCAGTACTGGAGCTAGCAGTGCTGAGGATGCCACAGCTTAAAATTGGTTCACTTAATCACCATTTCACAAGTAGCTACAGTACATTCCCTGCTACTATCTTTTCAGGGTAAGTCTCACAAAAGCATGAGAGGAGAAGTGAGAGAAGTGAGTTTTAGCATGACACTTACCTACCAGCTTCTCCTGCAGTCAGCCTATTACAAGGCACTGATCCTACAGTTACTCAGAGAGGAAATGTCTTCTTTTAGACCTCAGTTTAGCTGGCTGGAGGGTACAATTTTCATTCTCTCTTTCCAGGTCTGACGCTGTCATATCCAAAGTGCCCTGCATCAGCCCTACATGATGGTTTACACACAGCCATGCTTCCAGCAGCCTGCTAGCTCAAACCGAGATTAACTACCTACAGCTCTTTTGGCTAGAAAGACAATATCAACCCAAGTTCTTACTGTCTTGAAACAACCTAAGCAAATGATCCTAACCATATCAAAGGAATGCAAACCAGAGCAGAAGCAGCTGCAATACTTAACATTTAGACTGGCTTCTCTTTTCCGATAAGAATATTCAGAGATTTCTAGAACAGCCTTCTAAATATTAAGCAATTCAACCCAAGCAAACCAACTCTTCCACTTTACATTGTCACATACTTCTCACTAGAGCTACCAGGTCACAGTGTGCAGACAGCTATCTAAAGTCAACAGACAGGGTTGATGCTGATAGATAGGCAACAGAAAATACCAGAGGCATTTTATCTGCTGCTGCAGACTGGGACTCCCAAACAGCGGTTTTATTCACTTCAGATACAGAGACAGCAAGTGACTGGTGGGTAAGTTCCTGAACCCTTACAAACAACCAAACGCAGCTCACTCGGCTAGCCTGCTGCTGGACTGCACTGAAAAGGAGCTGTGCTGTGCACAGAGACCTCCCTGGCTCCAAAACTGTGAATAGCATGATGGCACCACCAGGGAAGGATTTTCTGTGTAAGAAAGGCTTTATGCCTTCCTGGTATGATATCAGAACCTGTACGATGCACAGGGCAGGCCAAACAGCATTACCAGGCCTCATGCTCTGTGCAAGATACTTGATTAAATGCCCACCTTTCATTTTCCACAGCTGGTAGTGCATCAGTGCTTTCCTCCAGCTCCTGCCCTGTGCCATATCTCCAACTCCCTGCCTAATTCATCTGAACCACATGCATGGGGTCTGCAGGGTGGTCTGCAAATGGGAAAGCTGCAAACAGCTCTAAGCACAAAAACTGCAGAGCACGTTCCTCTTTGTGCATGCTGTTCTGAACACAGGCAGAGGAGCTGCTTTAAGGAAAGTCACACTCCAAAGATAAAGGTTTAATGCTTTACTGGGTTAGGTGAGACCTAAGTGGACAATTCCATAGTCTGAACTCAAGTCCTGTTTCTGGTATCTGTGGTCTTCCTTTCATCCTGACCCTTACAACTTGGAGAACCAACAGCTCTGGATGCAAGGGTAAGTTCACCCAGAACTCAAAAAAAACAAAACAAAACAAAAACACATTTTTAGGGCTAAATTTTCCCATGCATTTATGCCTCTGTGTCTGTTCTTGTTAGACAAGTCAATCACCTAGCACAACAGAAGGTAAGAGAAGAACGCTTTAGTTTTGCCTGCATGCTTTCTTCATTATTCCAAACTGTAATCTTGCAGCCTTACATACAGAATTACTGGCTCACATACCTACACAGACACCTTATAAATGATGAATGTCCCTTGGCTAATGCCTTCTGATTCAGCATCTTTAATGTGTTTTAGAATAACTATGGGCTCAAAGAGCCATATGAAGAATTAATATCTGAGAGGAAACCTCAGGTGAAGGCTGGACCTGATGATCTTAAAGGTCTTTTCCAACCTCACCTATTCTATGAAATACGCAGTGCAAGAAATTACATACCAAGATCCCACAAGAAACTCATATGGAAGAGAACCCATCCCTACCTTCTAGGTTACTAATCTCACTCCCCTGTATATAATTGCAGGGATTATTTATAGCACTTACAAGAAAAAGCGAATGCTACACAGGGTAAATGAAGTGAACATAGTGAATGAAAGCACATGTCTGCACTACTCTGCATAAGCACATTCTGTAGTTGTCTTTACTCAAGCAGTTTTACTCATTTCACAAGCAGAGTTACAAATCAAAAAGCTTCTCACCCAAAGCTCAGCAAATCAATACTGTAAAAGCTGAGGGAAAAATTCACCCCAGGCTATTTCTTGTGCAGCTGTTGTGGTTTAAGCCTGCTGAACCCAGGACAGTAGCAAATTGCTTGAATGAGTTTGTTTTCTAGCATCTTAGTAATGGAAATTCTGATTCCCCTATCCCTCACCCAGGACTTGTAGACAGCTCACTCAAACATAGGATTTTTTTCTTATCATGTCAGGGAACACCACCACAAACCCCAGATAGTTCAGTTCAGTTCTGGGCAGTGCTGTAAAACATCTGCATACACCCAGTTCTTCCTCAGTCATGTCTAAACAGTAGAGAAATGTTCTAAGTAGCATTCTTCTTGGCTACTAAACTCCGAGCATACACTGGATCTTTGACCTGCATGACAACTTTCTCTTTGTGGCATGAAAAGGGTCTTTCATTGCACTGCCTCTCGCAATGTCGGGACACCGGGAAATGACACCATTTCCAACACCCGTTTCATCCTGAGAGTGTTGCTCTGTATTACTTCTGTAACCGCTTAGCCCAAACTTGCCAAGTAAAACTGGGTTTTGTTCTTGCCAAAAACTCCAAACAAACACCCTTTGGTTCAGTACACTGAAGGAGATTTTGTATATTTAAGTTGGAAAGGGAGCTACTCTGTTTTTTCCCTTTCAAAGATGCTATTTATATGTAACTAATCTGTGTGCCTAGAATGCACTTTTATAAGCTCCTTTTGGCCTGAGTAAGATCTTCAAGGGGTCTCCAATTGCCACAAAGCCTTATTTAAGACATAAAGTAAAAGACTACAACACAGACCTGAAGAAAATTTCCAGTACATCTCTCTTATCAAGTGACTTACCATAAAATACAGATATGGTAAGGTACTGCATTCTTGGTATATAATGACTTTTGACTACTTATGGATCCCATCTGGCCCTTTCTTACTGACACCATGACACAGCAGAGGAAAGCTAGTACCTGCCTTTGGGAAAACACTACCTGGAGCAAAGGGCCTTGCTGGCTCAGACTTCTTTTCTCCATCTCAGCTCACAGTCACCCTGACAGCTAGAAAACAGATTGTGAATCTGACTCACCTGCTGAAATAACATATTATGCACTTAAGATGTGAGCATTTAAGAGTAGAAACTAAATCAAGAGCGTTCTTTCCATAACACGGTTTGCCAGATTACTTTCCCAAATTTCATGCGCATTAATCCCCTCTGTATGGGACCCCCACCCACTTGCCAGACACGGAAAGCTGCATGTACTTTTAAGCATGCACTTAAAAACTAAGGAGTAAGCATATAATCTAGAGAGATGAATAATTTTGGAAGAGATGTAAAGGAGAAGCAGTTGAATCAGAAATCCAAGCTCCACATAAGGACTACTACCTCTGGGTCCTCAGGAAATCTCACCCTAGGAGCATAAAAGGAAAGCGTATCACACCACTCTGGAAACTAAATCTCTGCTGTTACTGTTGCTGGACAAGAGCCTTTCCCAAATAATCTCTTAACTGTTGTGGAGCAACAAGGAAATTCAATACTGCCATGAGTACACTGGGATAAGCACTGCAATAACACTGATGTACCCTGGAAGAAAGCTCAGGCTTATGACAAAACCCTTAACATCCTCCAACAAAACATCCAAGCTGCAAACATGTATCTCAACCAGAGACTTTGAATCGTATGAACACCAAGAACCATAAAACACAGACCACACTCACCACATTTAAGCAACACACTGGGCACAGAGCGACCCTACTGTCGGCACAGTAATCCCCAGTCATTAACTCAAGAGGGAAAACCTACAAAGCCAAGCAATAAAACTTTGTTTGTGTGAAATATCCAATCTCCTATTTCAAGCTCAGCTCTCCTGCGCAGCAGCAGCAGTAAAGCCACTCACCAGCCTTACAGAGCCACCAGCCTGTTCGGGAAGGTCCTGTGGCCCCGCTCGCAGCCAGCCCTCCCTGAAAGAGACTGCACATCGAGCGTGACGGATACCATGTCCTGTCCGAGGCGGATCTCTCTGTGAGATACCGGCTGCCGCCTCGCACAGCACGCCAGCAGTTCCCAACCAAACCCACTCTGCTATGGAGTTTGCTAACTCTTATTTTCAGCAAGTAATTTCCAAGCCAGGCCACTCCTCCCGCCCTTACCGTTAGGTACCCAAGGTAAAACACTGGGGAGCTTTGTTCGGGCTGCCCCAGGGGCAGCGGCTGCCAGCCCTCAGCACGCCACGCTGGCAGCGGCGAGGGGAGCAGCGCTGGCGCGGCAGGGGGTTGTGCGGGAGACCCGTCCGGCTCCGCCATGCACAGGGTTCGCACTGGAGAGAAGAGCGCTTAAAAACGTGGGGTTTTAGACTCTAAAACCTGCAAGAAGGGACCCACGCGCTTTTGATACTCCTGGAATTGTTTTGTTTGGGGGTTGCTCTGCCTGAGAGCCCGTGTATCACTTTGGAAGCCAACGTCGGAGCTCGCAGGACAGCGAAAGGGAAGCTTTCGCACAACGTTCAGTTTCATCCTGTCGGTCTCAACATCACTTCCCTCGCACGCAGCGGCGCCGCGGGCTCACACCCCCACCCCTGCAGCGAGACCTCCCCTCCCGGCCCCCGGCTTTCATTGCCATTTCCCTCTTTCGAGCCACTGCCGGGCGAGCCGCTCCGTAAAGCGGGGTCCGAGTGGAGCCCCCTCCCCAGGAAGCCGAGCCGGGCCGGGCCCGCACCCAGACCCCATCGCCGCCATGCCCCTGCCACCCGCGCCCTGCCCCGCTATCCCGCACCACCCCGCACGCCTCCCTCGCTTCACAGCGCCCACTCACTGCGGGCCGCCGGCGGCTCCGGGCAGACCTCGGGCGGGACTCCCCGACCTACCGAGCGGCCGCAGCGGCTGCCGGCGCCTCGGCAGCACCGCCCCAGCCCTGCTCCTCGCCCGCCTCCCCGTGAGGGATCGGGAAGGGAAGGGAAGGGCCGAGCCGGCCCCGCCGCGCCCCTCGCTACCCGGGGCGGGCCAGGAGGAGGCCCAGCGGAGCAGGCAGGACCCAACTTCCGAGGCCGCTCCCGAGCGTCAGTTTTTATCGTGTAATTAATATCAAGTGTGCTCCGAATTAGGAGCGGGCTGAGGAAGGCTGGTGCTGAGGGTGACTCACTGGTCCTGCTCCCTACCCCACAAAACAACCACCTGGAATGAAAAAAAAACAGAGGAACTCCAGTGAAGAGCCCGTGGTTCAGTTCATTAAGTTGTTCTCACTCTTCTTGAGTTGAAAGATGAGGTATGTGGTGGTAACTGGAGGTAAAATGACCTTAAACTGATACAGATAGGGAAACCATAACAATTTCTGGGAAAACGGTCTAATTTCCCTTTGGGAAACCATTACTATTCATTTAAAAAGAGTCTTTCAAAGTCCCTTTGTGTTAGTTGCTCCGGTGTCTGGGAGTACTTCCAACTGGGAAGGGCAGAGGAACTTGGACAATGCTGGTATTGGAAACACCAGGTTTTTGTTCAGTGCTCTCCTTTTATCTCCGCACTGGAGGTTCAAAGGCAGAGGGGCCCTGCCCAGTCTCTCCTGCAGGTCCCTCGGCACTTGCACGGCAAAGCAGACATCCTCTGAAATCGAATAGTGCCTAATATTTACATTTCAGGTGGAACCCTGAGCTGCCAAAAAGCCCATTAATACATGGGCAGAGAAATCCAGACCAACTTCGAGCCTGCAGAATTCCTGCCCGTTCTTTCGGTGTCAGACAAGTGCTATAAATCTTGCTGTAGAAATACACAGTATTTCCAGTTGTAAGCAAACATGTACCCCCTCCACAAGGGTTTCGTCATGCTAAGTACCACAGGCAAGTTGCAAAGGAAGTAAAACAGCGCACTCCCTCTCCCCTGGTTACCCAGCACCAGTGGCTCTGACTTCCCAGTCCTCTTAGGGACTTCCACATGAGTTTTAATTGAGTTTTAAGTGGGTGGTGACTCAAAAGACTACCAGAGGGAATCCTTGTGAGGAGTGAGATCTGTGTTGAAAGCCTTAAGAGGAGCCTTCTGTGTAGGGACCCTGCACAAACCTGGTAAAAACCCTCAAAACCAAGCAATGAGTGTCACAGTGTTTTCATTGTTCTAGAGGCACTGGCTGTGGAACAGCCTGGATCATCTAATACCTCGTGTCTTCATGGAAGAAAAAGGGAAATAATATCTTCTTGGAGCACAAATAACATATTAAAAAAATTCCTAAGCACTGATTTTCCAGAATCAGTTATTTTTTTTTCTTTCACTGCTATTATTTTTTCTTTTTACTGTATGATGATTTGTTAAAAAGTGGGGGGAAAAATACAAGTAAATATTTAAGATAACTCTGTCATTTAACTTCCAACTGCCTTCCTCTTCCTGATGTACGTTAAGCTTTGTGGTTAGTGTATTTCTGCATTTAGGGGACCTTTGGCCTTGGAGAAATGTGCCTCTGGGGCTCCTCATGCTCCAGAATCTCCTGCCAAGGAACAGTGAGCTGGGGCTTGCTGACACACAAACACACGTGCCATCTGCCTGTCCCGCTTAGTCAGCCTGTCAGACTGCTGCTCCGTTCTCCACATTGCCCTGTCACCTTTAGAACAGCAAATCTGCAGAGGGCAGTTCCTCAGAATACGAAATATTGTGGAAGAAGGCTCCGTTTTGTCCCCCTGGGCACATATTCCGGTGCATCCCGGCTCCTCCCACCCAGGGAAGCCCTCCCACCTTGCCCTCTCACCCTGCCCCTCTCGTACAGCCCCACTGTGCCCTGGTCCTACAGCAGAGCTCTAGGGGCTGCACAGGACAGTGTTATTATCACCCTCTGCTCCATCAATAAAACCCCTCTGCAATGTCTCTTCTCAGCCCTTTCCAGGCTTCCAGCTCTGCTTCATCACTCAAATGATGTCTCAAACTCAGAGGAGTCTATCTTTGCTAATACTATAGCAGGCAAATGTATGGGGAAAATAAACTGCACCATCAGCTTAGTATCTAACTCAGAAAATCTACCTTCCTAGATACTAATTTCATCCAAAAGCTTTTTGATCCTGCAGCAGTATTAAAAAAAATGTATTTTTTCCAATCTGCTTGAAATGAAACCCTTTGCTTTTGGCCTCTAGCAGTGATTATAAAGTCCTTATCTCCTCAATCACATCAATTTTGCCTCAATAGCCACCTTCTTTTACTATGTTTGGGCAAGTATTCACATCAGCCCCAAATCTGAGTCCGATAAGCCTAGCAGGGAAGAGCTACCTGCACTTTTCACTGCAAATTAGATGCTAGGCAAGTTCCAGCCATCCAGTTATTGTCTTTGCTTTGGTCAATAAGTCCCATTGGTCCTGGGGTTTAGTTATGCTGAGTACTTCAGCTTTAGTGTAATACTGTATTATGTGTGATTGACACTTCAAAGGCAGCATTACAACCGTCTAGGAGGGCTGCAGAGCTCTTCTGAGGGCACAAACAGCCTGACCCAGCCTGCTGCAGACATACTCCCTTCTCGACTGCTCCCAGCCCTTCTGAGAGGCTCTTGGGAATGTAACTCCGTTCCTGAGAACTGGATGTTCGTCCATGGCTAAGGTTTCTGGGAGGACCGTCCTCTAAACACGTCACAGACATTTCTACCAGGGGCTTAGAGATTCTGGCAGCTGATGGCATTGCAGGAAAGGTGAAATCAGTACCTCATCCTCCCTGGGGAAAAAAGTATCATCACTGCTTCTCAAAGGCTGTCAGAAATGGTGTTAAAAAGTGAACATCTCTTGCAGGCAAGGGGGTAACCGTACATCTAGGAACACACTGGTGAGGACACCTGCCTGGGAGCACAGGAATCAGCACCCTGCTGCCAGCCACCCTGTCCTTCATCTAGTGAAGGCAAGAGTGGTGTTCCAGTTCACCCACAGCAGTCTGTAGCTGGAGGCACAGGAATACGTTTGTAATGCAGGTTTCACTGAGGAAATGCTAAACTGATGTTTTAGAAAGGGTGACAGAAGTACTGACATTTCCCAGGTGTCCTCAGCGTAGGATGGGAGTGTGACTTAAAATACCATCGAGTAAATCTCTGACTCTAGTGATTTGCAGCAGTGCAGTAACTTGCTGCCTGCAGCAGCAGCACTGAACTACATTGCCTGGTCATGGCTCCTTCACCTAGAATGAAATAACTACCTTACAGCCAGAGAGGAGCCCAGGTCATAAAAGTGCCAAAGGACAGGCTCATTCTTTTTGCCTCATCTGAGTGACAGCAGCTGTCCTTCATGTCTCACTGGCTTTGAGCAATAGGGAATACTTGCAAAGTCACCTTGAGCTACTGCTGAGCTCCCCAAATTTGGCCACGTGCTTTCTGTTACACTGACAATTGATGTGTGCGGCAGAGAAAGGGCTGCGGATCCATTACAGCTTGGTGAGTCCATTTAAACTTAGTTTATTGCTTTTAATCTCTGCAATTAGGTATATGTAGATTATCACAAGTGACAGAATAGAGTTAGGGCCATGAATCCTAACTTATATGAAGTACCCTGAACTTTAGCCTTTATTTCTTAAAAATGCTTATGTTGGCAACCCTGGTTTGCAGTAGAATATTTTTATCATTTGGAGAAAAAACACCCAGGTTGTGAACCTCTATGTTGGATCTGAACCACAGCTAGGAACAGAGCAGCCTACAGCAACAAGGAGTGAGCCTACCTGCCTGGGAGTGTCCGTGAAATCCTTCAGTGAAGTTGGTATGTGAAATAAGGGCTACATCTGGAACACACAGCATGTGCTTGATTAAAAAATAACATCTGTACACATGGAGATGTGGCCAGCAAAGCACCTTCATACACTAGTGACCGTGGTATTTTGCATGGCTCTTTGTGCGCTCTGTAGAAGTGTTAAAATGTGGCTTGGATGCTGACTCATACAAAGATAAGTAATTATTTGCCACAAAGATCCTTTGTGTTAAATTGGCAGCATTGTCCTGAACAGTTTTCTACTGCAGCCATCTGCAAACAGTGCTCTCAACAATTAATTTCTAGCAATGGTATAAAATCAGCCAGCCTTGCTTATCGGTATCTTTAGCCATTTCTTTGGTTATCTAACCACATAATGACAGTATTAATAGTAGTAGTAATAGACATCATTAACAGTACACAAGTATCATTAGTACCATGAGATTATATAGTTCACAGTTTGGAAGCCAGCAGCAGGTGGAGATTTTCTTATGTTTGTGTTAATTCTTAGCACTTCTTTTCTCAATCTGCATATGCTACAGAATTGCTTTCAAAGCAGGCATGCAGGGGAGGTCAAGACACTTGGCAAGTCCCCATGGGAAGAGGACATTTTGACAATATTTAACTTTTTCTTTCCATCTCTCTTACTTCAGGATAAATTGGGACAATCCATGTAGTTCATGCTGAGGAGGGAAGGTCACTGGTACGGGTCGTGGAATGTTTCCTCCTCGGATGCACCTGGATGCAATCCTGTGTAACCTGCTCTCAGTACCCCTGTGTTGTACAGGGGGTTTGGACTAGATGATGTCCAAAAGTCCCATTCATTCCCAGCAGGTCTGTGAGACTCTGATCCTGTGGTCTGCCTTCTGAAGTATAGTGGGCTTGGCAGTGCCATTTGTGCTGCAGGAATACACAAGATTGAAAAGTTTCACTTACTGTACTAATAAAGTAGTATTTTATTGCTATGTTAATAACATATTTGATAAGTTGCTTTCAAGTACAGCATTGCATTTCCTCAGAAAAATATTTCTTCTCTTCCCCCTCCCTGTTTTAAGTAGCTGTCTGGATCTGTATAGAACACAGACATTAGTATGTTTGTAGATGATTGAGCTCACAAGACAAATAAATGGCCATGTACACTGATTTAAAAATATACCTCTAGATTTGAGGCTGGCATTATGTTTAGTGGTGAAGGGTCAAACACAACAAGTCTTATGAGGAGCAGCTGAGGGAAGTGGGGTTGTTTAGTCTGGAGAAAAGGAGGCTCAGGGGAAACCTTACTGCTCTCTACAACCACTTGAAAGGAGGATGTAGCAAGGTCCATCTCTTCTCCCAGTTACCAAGAGATAGGAAAAGAGAAAATGGCCTCAAGTTGTGCCAGGGGAGGTTTAGACTGGATATTAGGAAATATTTCTTCAGCAAAAGGGTTATCAGGCACTGGATCAGGCTGTCCAGGGAAGTGGTGCAGTCACCATTCCTGGAGGTATTTAACAGATGTGATGTTCGGGGACATGGTTTAGTGGTGGGCTTGGCAGGGCAGGGTTAGCAGTTGGACTTGATCTTAAAGGGATTTCTTCCAGTCTAATCAGTTCCATAATTCTAAATAAAAACAACTGTATGGTTAAGCTGTGCTGCGTAACTAAAACTCCATTTAATCGCTTACCTGCTTTTTGTGCTGCTTCTCTGCTCCATATTTTATAAGCTAATTCAGTTACTGGGGAAAAAAAAAAAAACAAACAAGGTGGGGTTAGTTGCCACAAATAAAAATATCTATTAAAAAAATCAAATAACTTCTAAATAATATTTCTGCAAACAAGCTTGTAGAAAAGATGCACCACTGTAGGCAGCAGAAATCTATTTGAGCACTGAGCTAGCCTGAGGAGAAATGCTGTTTACAGATTTAGTATCTCCTGCAGCATTTGGAATTGTGTGGGGATCCTTTCAGGCACTGGGTTTGCTCCGGCTCCTGCTCAGTTGGGGGGAACCCCTCCACAGTCCTTCCCTCGGGCAGGCTCACGCTTTTACTGAGTGCTGAAGCAAACCCAGTCTCTCCCTCAGGCTCAAGAGAAATGATTTCTCTGGTGAGTTCCCAGAGATTTCTGCCCACTTCAGATTTTGGGAAGTGCTTCTGAGGCTGCTTGCCTGCTGGCCTCACCCCTGGCTAGGAGAGGATAGGCATGCAACAAAACGCCACTCACATTTTTAGGTGAGAGATTTTCTCTGCAAGACTCAGCCCCTGGCCAGAGTCCTGAGGAATAACTAGTATTTTTTGAACACTTACGCTTTGCAGTTATCAGTGTCTGAAGCTTAACTGTAAAGAAACAAGACTGAATGTTAGTGCCTTGTAAAACACAAATCACATCTTACTAATAATGAAGTAAGAGGCTTCCCCTTTTGAGATGAGGGACAGCCTTCTAGACTCTGCTCTCCTTGACACTGATGCAGAGGAGCACAGGCCACACAGTCCTTAAATGAATAACTGCTGGAAAAATTTGCAGGGAACATTTTTGAAAGTAAAGAAAAGGATTTACCTGGTCCACCAAATTTGTTTGGCGAGTTTACCTAAGAAAGCTCAAGAAGAGTGTTTTACAAAGCAAGCAATGCCAATGCATTCAGATCTCATGGCTGGGGACAGACTAGATGGGGGTAGGAGTGGATAAATGAAAAGGAGCTGGCCTTATGCTAGTTAGGAGTGGACCTCTTCCTTGTTATCCCCAGAAACAAGTTTTTCTGTCCTCTTTGCCCTCCCCACTTCAATAGTCCCAAGATCCCATTGGAATCCTTGTCAGCCCCCTCAAGAGCACACACATGCCACCATTCTGTGCCCATCAGCCACCCATCGCTTGTTGCTTTCCGCTTGGGGTCAGATCACTCACCCTGCAGGGTTTGCAGCGCCGAGTCCAGGTTTCTCATGAAGTCCCAAGTTAAGCGTTGATAGCAGTTAATTGTGGCCTCATCCAGCTGCACCACCATCATGTACATCGTGCTGATGCTGAAATTCTTACTGACAATCCTAGGGCACAGTCAGTCATTTCACCAAGGAAAAACATTTAGCATTAAAAGTTAACAAACTCCTTTGTTAGAAAGGACTCTACAAAGAGAAGGGTGCTTTGGCAACATGAAGTATGAAGTAAGCAGCTCTCTGATAAGGTTAAGTGAGTTGCAATTGTTATATTTGTATATTTGGCAGTAACTTCTGCTTTCCAAACCTGAACAGGGATTTTCAAATGCTGGAAATGAGAAAGGGGGAGGCATTTTGCTAGTACTCTTGTGCCAACAGTGCTCTGACCTGCTGCAGGCAGGCTCTTACTGTTCTAGCACAACCGCTGTCGTGATAGAAGGAAAATGCCAAACATATTAAATGGTGTCCAGGCTTCTGGAAAATGACTTTGATCCCACAGGCTAGATTTTGACTTGTGGCACAGCTGTGAGTAATGGATTGTGCTGCTGCCAGCACAGCCCCTAGGTACATGGTGATTCAAAGTTATCCTTACAATCCGAGTTCAAACTCAGCTTTAATTTGTACAAGTTATAAAGATGACATCTTCAAATCCAGCTAGGTGTTTGAGCTAGCTCTTCATGCAGCTGGGTACTTCAGTGCTGCAGCAAAATCTCTTGTGGATCTGTAAGTTGGTGTGGTTTTGTACCACTGAATTGCAGCTTGACACCCAGGCATCAATTAGGAAGTGCTAAGTTAGAAATTAAATATATCACTTTCAAGGGCAGGGATAATAAATATGTCTTGCTATTAAGCTTGCCCAGGAGCAAAAGCAAAACTCAGTGGGGAATGAGCCAGTTACCTTTGCAGTGACGGCTATTTCCTGGGACTTAGGTGCAGGAGTGTCACCAACACACACCCAGGAGTGCTTCTGTGAACTGAACCCTATGGGCTTCATCTGTGATAAAAATGTTATTCTGGTAATACAAGCCAGTGGTTTTCACCAGAACCCAGCAGCCATGTAGCTGCCAAGGAAACTGAAATGGACCACTGGAACAGCAGGCAGATACCTCTCCATTCGCATTAATTGTGTGGACATGGTGCCCTCTGGCTCAGCTGGAGCAGGGAGCAGCTTTGCAGCGCACGGTGCCAGGACAGAGGGGCACAGGCAGTGGGGTTGATTCCAGTTATCAACACCATATTTTTGTAAAGAAGAAAGCAAGTGTTTTCAGGTGGAACATACCTGTCCTTGGCCTGTTTAAATTCCTGCAAATAGCATTGCCAAAAGAAAGGAAAAAAAATCGTTAGTATGATTTCCAGACAAGGCACCTGGCTGAGAAACAGGCATATTCATGAAGAAAAACAGAATACCACTGCTTACTTTGACAAAGAGGAACATATCTGGTTGCTCTCTCATCTTCTGCAAAGACTGAAGATGCTGCGCAGCCTCATCTCTCTTCTGTTCCATTTCCTGCTTCACTTTGGTAATATCTGCCAGTTGTTTTTTCTCATTAGATTGAATGTCACCCAGGATCGTCTTCTCTTTCTCAATTATCACTGTTCATCTCTTCAAACAGCTTTTGCAGCTGAGAAGTCACTGTTTTTGTATTGTTCTAAATGAGCAGATGAGAAAATGGTGCACTGGCTCAGAATGGTGCGCTAGCTCATTTCAGCTTTTTGTCTCTGTTAATTAATTAGGATTTTATCTGTCCTTTGCACTGGCTTTAGGAGGAAGTGGACAATAAGCATTTGCTTAGACTATCTGACTAAACAGAAGGTTATGAATATTAATCCTGATACAGTAACAAAATCAGATAAAATCCAGTTAGCAATGTGAGAACTGTATCGGCACACACCGGAAATTCCACTTGTAAACTCAAATTGGTTTTCTTTCATTCAGCAGGTAGAAAACTTTAAAGAAACCCCATAGTGATGTGCAGTCTGTGGTCTGCCACTCCTGGCCTGTGCAGCCGCAATAAATGGTGGGGTCTCCCAGATGGTTCTTCCTCTAGAGCTATGCTGGGAGGCTGTGAGAAAGGTTGGCAGTTTCTTATACCACTGTTTTCTCTATTTTGGACTATTTCTATGAATCTGCTTCTAGCAGTAGAGCTGCCATCACATACTGCTGGGAAATGGTGGAGGAAAAATGCTCTGAATTAGTGATGATCTGGGTACCAACCTTGAGGTGGTTCTCGCCTTTCTGAAGCTCTCCTAGGGCAGTAGCTAAAGCTGTTTTACGTTCCTGCAGCCTTGTCATGAGGTCTGAGAGTTCACCCTAGCAGAATGAAAGACATCATTTCTTGATGAAATTTGACTGACGTTTATTGCACCAAAACCCTTTTATGATGCCTTCTGAAGAGCTGCGTTCCCCATTTCCCTGATTTTTCTGGGAGTTCATTTGTTTGTTTGTTAAAGAAACCAAACACAAACCCAACAGGAAGATGCAGCTGTGATCTCAGCTTACCCTGCAGATGACTCCCCATAGACAGGGCAGTTTTGCTCCTTTACTTGCTCCAGGGATGAAGGAAATAGTTGCTGTTGTACACAGCCCACTTCTGTTTGGCAGCCCTGAACTACTTGTATGTAACTTGGGGAAGAAAGTTAGTTCAAAGTGCAAAGGATGCTTCCTGCTAATCCCTGAAGAGGCTGGGACCTGTCCTGAGGTCCAGAGCGAGCCAGGCGTTTCATGGCCATGCGCTTGGGTGCCTGCAGGGTGTTTTGCTTGGGCTCTGTATTGAGCCCCGACATTTCAAACGCAAGGCAGTGAGTGAGCGTAGCAAATGCGTTTCACCCCTCAGTCTCAGCTGATTCTGGGGCATTTCATAGATGCAGCTGGACTCAAAGGCAAGGACATCGAGCCCCCACATCTCCATGGGGACACTTGCTCTGCAAAATAAGGGCAGAGGGAGGAGGGAGATGGAGGGAAGCGACTTGAGTGGGAAGGCCTGTTTCCCAACCCAAAGTTGGGAAGGGGGCTCTGTGGAAGAAGAGACTTCGTAATCCCTACAGGAATACGTTTCAGTCCCAGCCAGGAATGCCATGTGAGTGGCAGTCTGTAGCCGCATGGACAGCACACCATGGGCACTCACCAGGGCAGTGCTGGACAGCAAAGCCCTGCCTCTTGCTCGCTGTCCCATGTCACCACACACTGCAAGATTTGGTCAGCCCCAAATACCCATCTCTGCTCTACTGCCTCAGCTGAGCTTGTCAGGCTGCTTTGGCAACACAAGGGAGGAAATGAAAAGCAAATTCCTGCCCTCGCACCCCGTCCCCCTTCCAGAGCAAGAAAGCCTTGTTGCCCTTCCTGTCACTTCCCCTCTTCTTCCTCCAGGTCAGGAGTTTGGAGCAGTCCCCGCAGGGACCATGGGGAGAAGAGATCCCCTTACCAGCCTCTTGTCATAGGTCTCCTTCAGGGTGATGATGCTGTGGCCCCTGTGGCACGCCACGATGGAGCAGAGCATGCAGATGTACTGCCCCTCGTCCTGGCAGTACAACTCCAGGCACCTCCTCTCCGCCACAGCAGCGCCTGCGCCCACCTCCACCAGGATGTGGTCCTTCTGGGAAGCCTTGGTGTTGTGTTTGTTCACATGGACCTGGCACAAGGACGCATCGCAGGCCAGGCAGGTCTGCACCGCCGGCTTTGGCGGATCCAGGCAGAAGTCACAGGGAACCTCTTCCTTCTTCTCCCCTGCAGAGCTCAAGCCCTGTTGCCCTTCGGAAGTAGCCGTAAACGCCTCTACGATGCTGCACAGCTGGAAATTCTTCTGCAGCTCCGGGATGGGCCCAGCTGGTGCCTGCATATGGGGCAGGAGTAAGGGGCCTTGGATTGCTGCTGGCCATCAAGCACCTGGTTGATGCAGTGTTTGCAGGAGCTGTGACCGCAGCGCAGCAGCGCTGGGTTCCTGTACAGACACTGGCAGAGGGGGCAGCTGAGCTCGTCCTCCATGCAGGCACCCCTTCCGGCTTCTTCCCGAGGTCTTGCAAGGCAGCGGACATGACGCCTTGGCGGGTCTGCGAGAAACGAAACTACGCGGGGGTGCTCGGCACCGTGCCCGGTCGGAGGCTCAGCCCTGAGGCTGCGAGTGCTTCCCCTTTGCCCTCATCTTCTCCTCCATCCCAGGTTCCACCCCCAAACCGCTCCCGTAAGCAGTGGCAGCCGCTGCCCTCACCCTCGGGGCACCGCTCCATGTGCGAGCCCGCAGCGGGCTGGCAGGGGCCGGCGCGGGATGGGGCTGCTCTGCAACGCTCGGCTCTCCCGGGGAGATCCGGCTCCTGGCAGGGCCAGCGAGGTAGTAAGCTCTGGGTGAGAAGAGCGTGAGTGAGCCAGGGGTTCCCTCTGCTCTGGTTCTGCTCCACAACGGTTACAGGTGCTGCCCTAAAGGTAAAGCAGGGAGAACTCAGGGGACAGGTGTTGGTGCCGGTCTTGTACCTGCAGCCACAGGGAAATGGGCGCTGGTAAAGGCACTGTAGGATAGGAATGTCCCCGCACCATGTCGCAAGCCTTGCTTACCTTCTGCACACGTACCACCCGAGACCAGGCAGAGCAGCAGCCACTGCAGGTGCCTTTGAGAGACCCGACTCTGCCTGCATGGTTTTCCCTATCATTTTGGTGTATAAAATACGAAAGATAAAGCACAGCCGCTTTCTTCTAAGCCTGAACAAGGATTTCTTTTGTCGCATAAAACTGTAGTGTCCCATGAGGTCATTCACTGCCTCTGCTAGGTTGAAGAGCTCCTGCCTGGACCTCTTAATGCAAATACCTTGGCTTGTTCTGAAGACAGTAGAACCACAGGGAACAAGCAGGAATAGCATCTCTTCCTCCCCAAGGTGTTCAGACAGTCATAAGAACAAACTAATCCGGGCCCCGTGTGGCACAGAATAAAAGCACAAGAGTTTTCTGCTTTATTGTTCCTTTTGCTGTGAGATTTTTGCACAGGTGAAAAGAAAACCCAAAATTCATGCAAAAAAGTTGGTAAATGATCTATCAGAGTCCTCACAGGGGATGTTAGCAGTGGAGAGAAAGGAAACGGGATGTCTTACCACCTAGTCTCTACTCGCCTCCCAGCCCAGATTTGCTTCTGCACGGGATGGCTTCAGTTGTACATTAAAGATCAGCATTGCTGCTGCTTTGTTCTGTAGCAGTTCAACTTCTTTATGAACTGAACTGCTGTTCAGTAAAAACCAGATGTAATAGCATGCAGCCAACACAGAATTTGGTACAGCTGAGCAAAAAAGCACAACTTAACAGCATTTCCATTGTGACTAACAGAAGACAGGAGTTCTTGCGGTAAGCAGCTGTGTGCTGTGATACACCCCACAGAGGCCTTGCCCTCACAGAGATAAAGCCATCACAGCAGCCCCAATTCCAGTTTCTAATATGCCAGCTTAGCATAGCTTCCATGCAGCAGCAGTCCTGATAGATCGCCTGGAAATACAAAACAGCACCTTGTCCCCACATCACTACAGGAGCTTCAGAGAGCCTTCAAATATCTTGAAGATGGCATGGACAGGGTAGCTGAAAGGGATGCTTACTGCCTCTAAAAGATGGAGACTGTCAGTAGGATCTCCATCCTTGACAGACACGTTATAAAATGACAGCCTGTTTCTTCCACAGTCTACCTCTACCCTGATCACTTTGAGGGCTGTAGGAAAGTGCTTTCCCGTGATCAGTGTTTTATCTAGGAACAGAGAGAGGTAATGAGAAGACGCTTCCAGATAGCACTGAAACCTGGGACAAGCAATTCCAAGCATCCAGCGTCTCATGTTGCTAGTGTCTACCTCCCAGAAGTGACAGCCTTCTGAGAAGCTCTCATTGCTCTTGAATTGGGGGATAGGGGCTGTTAATGCATCCACATTGGGAACTGTGGGTAGGTGCCATGGGGACACATGGAATGCCTTGCTCCCAAAAGCAAATCTGCCTTCTTGACACACTGAAGTTGTCAGGTGTTCATGAACTGTAGAAAGAAAGAAAACCAACACACAGATACCACACATCCCCCAGTTGCTGAAGGCTGGATTTCCCAATCCAAGTCAACACAAGTTATCCTATCCAAGTCATTCAAGTCCAACCCACCCAAGTCACTAAAAGCATGTTAACTGAAAGCGCTTCTGTACCTCTCTTAGCTGCTCCCACGTAATTCTAAAAGGGGGTGATCCCACATTTCAAGAAACACTGCTCTTTCACAATTTTAAAATGTCTTCTTGCTTTGTGTTTCCAATGACAGCAGCTCTGAGATTCTCATTTTCCATCAGTGCCCTGCAGATGCAGAGCTTCATTAGGCATTTCTAAAAACTTCCCAGATTAACTTCCACAGACGAGAAACATGTGAGCAGTGGCACAGCCATTTTATACATGCTTATTTGCTTAGGATCATTTGAAGGTGTTTTCTAGAACTCTTAAAACTTCCTAGCATGGCCAGGCACAAGGAGGTAATTCTGCAGTCGGGAATTTGCAGAATGTGTTTATTCAGACCTTCCCTTGCACTCAATGCGTTTCGATTCTGTGGTGTTCTCTGCTGTGGAAGTTACTCCTTCAGGAAACAAATAGCAGCGGTGACTTGGACAACTAACCTGGACTGCTCAGATGGCATGGACAATGAGGAAAACCTGGCTCTGGGGCTTTCTAGCTAGAATAGGTCTGGACTGTGCTTACAGGGATGGTAAAGACCGAGCCTGGGAGTGGCCATGAGCATGGTGCTCTGTTTAGCATACCCAAGGCTGTACGGGTGGCAGCCAATTAGGTGTGCACATCACACATGCTCTGGGCAGAGCCTTCCCACCCCAGCTGTCTCTTGGTCTTGACCCTAGGCTCACTGTCAGGCAGGGCTCAAGCACCCTCCATGCAGCAATAACAAGGGAAACCTTTTTTTTGTCTAATTAAATAGGACAGGCTTCCCGCTGTGCACAGCACCAGCACTGTACGTTGGTCTTACAAAGAGTAGATTTACACACAAAGAGGGGATTATTTTGTCATAAGACAAACTCCACCTGCCACTGCTGTGATGAGTTCTCAAATTTCCCCGTGCTTTGAATTGAAGTGGTGCTACAGACAGAAAAGCTATTGCTATTCTTCTCCCTAAATCTTCCCATACACGTCCTAGGACATCCATACCTCTTTACCTAGAACCCATTTTAGCAGGGTATGTTCAAGGAATGTTCAAAGCACTGAAGCCTGGGACAAGCATCCTTTTATGTACACATACGTGAAAATAATCATGCAGTCATATCACAGAATACTATAGAACAGTTTGGCTTGGAAGGGACCTTAAAGATCATCTAGTAAGTGTTAGCAATCAGCTCTTCTAGATCTATTTTTGAGTACCTGGTGGTTTACTACAGTCTTTTCCTGAATATGCTTTGTTAGCTTCTCCATGTTCTCATTACAGAGTGAAATGAGCACTTACCAGGAGGTGATTTAAATAAGGACTGCATGTCTGAGAGGAATTGCTGGAAAAGCCTTAGAGTACCATCTGTTGTTAATTTATCCAAAATAATGGGTGGCCTTGGTTTTAAATCAGCATCCTTAGAAACTGGTTCGTGTTCCCTAAAACATACAGAATGACATCAGAAGAGCAGCAGAAGGCATCAGAAAACCATCCCCAAGCCCATCCCTGAGTGAACAACTACATCCCCCACTCCACACCAAACCTTGATGGGACACACAGAAAGCACCTTCCACCCTCCCCTCTCTCTGCAGCTTTACCAGGGACTCCCTCTCTGACTGGTCTTCTCCCAGAACTCCAGATCTCTTCAGCATCAGCAGGCTGAAGTATGGACAGTATCTGTCCATGGAGGACCTTGTCTCAGCTGTCTCAGCCCAGCTTTGCCAGGACAGACTCTAGCATCCCGTTTGCGGTTGCAGTCCTCTGTCCTCGGAGTAGGAGCTAATGAGGTGGCACAGCTAATGATGCTGGGACAGCTAATGATGCTGATGAGATCAGATGATCAGATCTCATCAGCAGATGAGATGTGCTGCATTTCCACAGCCCTAGGTGAGCTGCTAAACCCAAAATGCAGGGCTGGGGGAGCCTGTGTGCATGCTGTGGTGGAGGAGCAGGGCAGACCATGGGAGAACAGCTCAGGAGAAAAGCCATGAACTCTGTAAACTCTTGACTGTGCTGCATGTTTGGCTCCTGCCACATTTGCTTCTTACAAGCAGAAGGCAATGCGAGCTGGAGGATGACTCAGGATAACTAAGCTCATCTGTCCTTTGCATGCCCATACAGGGACCTAAACATTCAGGAATTGCCCTCAGAATGGGACTTGAGAATAGGTGCAGAGGGCACAGAAAAATAAGATGTGCTGTATATGAAAAGTCACACACGGCCTCTGGGGCTTCTTCAGGCTCAGTTTGCCACCAGCATGCCAAAGAGTGAGCCCAGGACATGCAGGCTAGGCTATCAGTCACCCAAAGCAACGTGTAGTGCGATAGTAGACCACCTTGGGAAGAGCTTACCTGGTCTGAATTGCTGAAAAAGCCTGTAAAAGACAGTTTGAAAGCAGAATTAGCATAGCACAGGCAAAGGGTAGCCCAAGAGCTGAGTGTCTCTGGCAAGGGAGATGCTGTTAGGTACCTTGATGAAAAGGAGGAGGTCTTTCTGATCTCTCAGAGCCTCCAGCTCCTGTACATCACGGCTGGCTGCATCCTTCCCCTCTTTGTGTTTTTGCATCTCCTTCTGAATCCAAGAAAGCTGTTGCTCCTCGTTGTGACTGAGAGCTTTCAGGACTTCTTCTTTTCTGTTTTCTAGCTGCAGACTCATCTCTTTGAAGAGGCTCTCCAGCCGACCCCTCCGCAGGCCCTCCTCAGTCTGTTAAGAAAACACTTTCAAAGCTGTTAGGAACCGAATCTTACATTTAAACCCAATCACTCTCACTCAGAAAAGAGCCTGGTCTCTTCTGGGCTCAGAGAAGTAAATACTAACTTAGTGTCTGTCCACGTGACAACAAACCAAGATGTCCCATTGACAGCAGAAGGGCTAAGTGACACAAGTACCCCAGCATCTGGCAACCTGACCAGAAAAAGATGAAAAAGTAGTGAAGCTTGCATGATGCTTGCTGAAGACTTTCCACTGTATTCCCATATTCTGCATTAGTTGTCTTTGGTCCCTTTAAGGATGGGTGAGGAAGTACAAGTACCAAGTGCCAAGTACAGTTCTGTCTTCAGACCTTTGCCCAGTGCCAGGACTTCAAGTCCTATCATTTTTACTGGTGGAGGAAGACAAGTGCCAATTCTGCCTCAGCAGAATGAGCTAGGATTTGGAGACCTGTGTTAAATTCACTGCTCTTCCAGAGCTTTTACATAGGTATTGGCATGCTGGGAGTGAAAACCAGACATTCTGGGGCAATCTTTTAACATCATTCCTATCAACATCTTAGAACCACAGGCTAACCTAAAGGGATTTCTTGTTGTAAAGAGGAATAAAACCACAGTAGCATGGTGTGTGATACCACCACCTACCAATCAGGAAGCATGGACTTAATAGCAATTTTCAAGCTCACATGCCCTTTGGAAACAAAGAATGTACTTCCCAGTAAAGGGAAGTAAGAAAGTTGTTCATCATCCTCCCTAAAAAAACAAAACCTAGAAAATAACTGAGAAACCACCAGGAACTAAAACCACTTTGGAATGCGCGATCTGGGGAAGGGCAAAAGAAAACCTTATCTTATCAGCTACCAGCACACAACCATCCCCAGAGTGGTGGTTGGACTTGGAACAAACCTTTACTTCCTCCTCTTGTTTCAGCAGGTTTTCTATGCTGTGATTCAGCGCAGCTTCGTGGGTTTTCACTGCTTCCAGGGTTTCAGTAAAAAAACCCTGTAAAAATAACCAGTGGGAGGTATCAGGATAGGATGGACACAAGTGCACGAGACCAGCAGCTTTAGGGACATAGGATTGCTTCCTCTCAGGTCAAATGAATCATAAAGGTTTACTGGAAGATTGTAGCCCTGGACAAATACTGCAATCACAAGCACAGGAAAGACATTTTGAAACTGAAAATACCTTCGGCTTGGAACTGCACCCAGGACTAGGAGCACAGTCACGTGCACCCGGTCCCACTGGTTTGGCTTCTCAGGGTGGGAAGAAAGTTTCCATAACATTTTGTTTTATATCCCTGCATTCCCAGAGGGAATCTAGGGCAAAACTGGGAATAAAAGCCCAGTATCCCAAGCTGGAGATTTAGCCCCAACCCAAGTCTGCAGATCTGAACCTCAGGAAACGTTTCATCTCTGTGCTGCAGGCAGCTCCCTGTGCCCCAGGTCCCTGTGGTTTTCCTAGTGCAATCTGTGCTCTAAGGGCTGTCCTGGCAGCCTGTTACCTGTGCTTTGCCAAAAGCCTCCTCCAGAGTGGTGATCTCGTGGTCCTTGTGGGAGCTGATGATGCAGCACAGCATGCAGATGCAGACGGAGTCTGTCACACAGTAGCACTCCAGCAGCCTGCCATGCTGGGGGCATCTCCTCTCAGCCAAAACCTGAGCTTCACAGGGTTCTATCAGGACGTGCTCTTTCAGAGGGCTCTTTGTGTTGTGCTTGCTCAGGTGGGCTTGGCAGAAGGAGGCCTCGCAGTTCATGCAGGTCTTCACGGCTGGCTGGGGCTCCTGAAGGCAGAAGTCACACAGGATCACCCCATCTTGCTGTCCCAAGCTTTCCCCCTTCTCTTCACATTGCACTTCAGGCCTTTCCTCCTCTGGGTCTGCCTGGGTATGGCACAGTGGGCAACGGTCCTGCGGGCGTTCCTCCTGGGTGCAATCCCTGCAGATCCTGTGACCACAACTCAGCATCACCAGCTCAAGGTAAGTGTCCAGGCAGATGGCACAGGTTAGGTCCATCTCCAGCCTGGTCACGGCATCACCATGTAGCCCGAGCTGCGGTGGAGTGCCAGCAGTCACTGATGAGAAGTGAAACAGAAACCAGTAGTGGAAGCACCATTGGCTGCAAGCAGGGAGCTGCTGCCTCCTCCCCTTGGCAAGGAAAAGTCATCCCTCCACCCAGCTGTCTGCCACGTTGGAGAAGCCATGGGCACGCAGGATGAACCCAGGATCAGGGTGGTGGGGTTTTGGAGGAGCAGGGTTAGTGCTAGAAAAGGTGGTATGGAAAGAATGGTGCTTTCTTACCTGCAGGAAACTGCTGAGAAACACAAGAGATCCAAGTCTGAGTTTGAAAAGGTACTTGGCAGAGACAGCATAGGAAAGATTAAACAGCACCCAGGCAAGGACTGAGGAGAAGGAAAGAGGGAACACCGATTACATGCCCCTGAACCAATAGCACCTGGGGAAGGCACTCCACCAGTATTTAAAGGCACACAGCAAGCAGGAGGCAGGAGCTGCAGGTGTGTTAGTGAGGGAGCTGAAAAGCTGGGGAGGAAATGGGAAGGAAAGTTGGGATCAGTCCTTTGGGACTCTGGGCAGCTACAGTGGTAGCGCAGAGAAGTGGGTCTAGAGGTGGCAGGGAGTGGATAAATGAAACCTGCCCTATTCCTCCCTGCAAAGGCACCTGGATGGACCTGGGCAACAAGCTGGGACTGATGGAGAGGATGGGCAAATGTGTATGTTACTCTAAGCATGGCCCCCAGAGCCCCAGCACAGACCTTGCATTGCCCAGAAGCTGTCTGTACTGGGAGGAGGGAGCAGCAGAGCAGTGTTGGATGCCACTGCTCAGAGCGCAGGTGGGAGCTGAAAACTCCAAAGGGCAGCCCAGGACAGCTTGCCAGGCACTGAAATCGGTCCCAAGCAATGGGCACTTCACATGGGTCAGGAGCACGAGCCTGGCCTGGCATTCCCAGGCGTTGCCTTGCTGTGTCCCTGCCTCTCTGTGGGACCCTTTGGGGGTAGGGGTGTCCCACCAAGCCAGTGCAGCCCAGGGCAGATGCTGCCTCAGCAAGGCAGATGTGGGCACTGCCCCTGCACCACCACTATGCCCACATTGCATGTGCTGCCCATGCTGCCAACCAGCCAAGGTCAGCAACAGAAGCTGCCCCTGTTCACAACAGCCCATTACTGACTTATTTTCCCGTCCCACAAGGCACACAGTGCCTAGCTCAGTAGGTAGCACTGCCTCCCTTCCCTCCAGGAGCCGATGAGCAGCAACATAAACTGCTGCAAAAGCAAGAACCCATCTGTGTGAAAAGATGTTTTATCACAAAGTTACACCAAAATGAAAACTGTCACATTGGTTTTCTTTCCAACCGGCTGGATGTAATTGCAGGGACTAACAGAGCTGCTGAAATGATGCTGTGATTCACCAACAGCTCCCTCAGATTTCTAGGTCTGCTTTCAGGATAATACTCAATGTCTTGTATTTTCCAGGAAGCTGCCTGAAAACGCAGCGCAGGTCAGGCTGGGAGGAAAAACCCCAGCTGTGGGTCTGTTCCTCTCTGCAGACCCTTCACTTGTGTGCCCCTGCTCCATCCCAGTGCCCTGCCAGCCAGGAACCCTGCTCTTGTGCACCCACACCAGGCACCCCGAGAGCAGCTGCCTGCCCACGAGTCCTTGTATGTGCCAGAGACAGACCGGTCTATGGCAGCTGCCTCAGTCAGTGCAAATCTGCAGGACAAACCAGCTCAGCACCTTGCAGACCTCCTCCTGTCAGGTCCTCCTGCCCAGCAGCATCATCCGAATAAATTCAGTGTACCATTTCCAAGCTGGGCAATGGCTAGTGCTGGGCTCCCGGGCGCTGGGTGCTGCAGGAGAGCTGCCCTGGCATTCCATCCATCCCTTCCACAGCCTGGGCTCCCATGATGCCCAGGACACCAGGACACCCTGTGCTGGTTCAGCCACCTCGGCTGTGTCTCTGGGAGCACAGGCTGGCTCCTGTGGGACTGCGCTCCTGGCACTGGGGAACTGCATGGTTCCTGCATCACCATCTGGAGTTTTTTCCACACTTCTCCTTGCAATCCAGCTCTCTTACTCCCACTGAAGCAAATTTGAGGTGCGTGCCCCATTTCATTTTTACCCTCCCTGGTCAGGGAGGCTTCTTCTGCAATGGGTCCTGCAGCAGTGGCACCGCTCCCAAAGTCCACAGGACAGCCCACGTTTTTCCTGCAGGAGTTAAACTGCAAGAAGCCACACTTAAAACAGCAATATCCAGGGATATTCCTGCATCTCTGGCAGTAGGGCACTGTTGGTGCAAGTGAGTTGGGGGCTTCGCCCCCCCCGCTGGGCCCCAGTTTGTCCCAACTGTCCCACTGCCAGCCAGGCCAACACAGGGGAGCACCTTTAGCAAAGCAAAAAGCACCTCCTCCCAGAGCAGGCTTGAGCTAAAGTATTAGAAGCACAGACTCGTTCCTTTTGGTTTTTGTTTCCACTTTGTAGTATATATGTTATCGTTTATTTATAGGCAGATCACTTCACTATTTACAGTACATGAGCGTAGAGATTCTACAGTCTTTTTGATGTAAACAAGTAACTCCACGGCTGGGGAGTCTGGAAAAAGAAGCCAGTTCTGAAGTATTTACACAATTTAAAATAGAACTTTTATACCCACCGGAGAGATAGAGATAATACATTGAGCGATTTGGTTAAATTATCTATGAAACTATAGAATCTGACAATGTAAAAATACAAGAAAACGTTCTCTTGTCTTAGAAGGTAGACAGTTAAATCACACTAGAAATAAATCTCTTCGTTTAAAAATAATAACAATAATAATAAAGGAAAGGCATAGGAATCCATGCCGCCTTTTAAGGTTAAAGTATATTACATAAATAAGGACACAACAGAACGGAACTGGGGAAAAAATGCAGTGAAATATAAAAAAATGCTACCAATTAAAAAAAAAAAGACTAAAAACTTGATTCTTAATCACAGAGGGATCAATTCCGCTGCTTCTACTTACTCTGCAAGGAGAAAACTGCAGAGTTAAGTAGCACTTACTCGGCATGAGAAATGGAAGCAGAATTGGCCCCTGTAAGTATGAGCAGTGTCCTTTTACTTAAAAAAAAAAAAAAAGGAAGAAAAAGACAGAATTTATCGGGTTTTAATATAAATAACAAAGCAGATGTGCCCCTTTTTAGGTGAAATTCTTACACCTTTCTCAAGAAATGCATCAATTTAATCTTTCTCTCTCTTTCTCACATGCATACACACACTCCCTCCCCAGCTCAGTATTTACTGCAGCGTGGCCCTCGGCTCAGTGCTGTGGGCACTGGGGCCAGGCTGCTGCCTCCCCTCCTGACCCCAGGGTGGGCGAGGGAAGAGGAATGAAACCCAAAGGCTGCATTTGGCTTTATATTGCTTGAGATTGTCAGGGATGGACTACAACACTTGGAACAGAAAAGGTGGCAAGGCTCAGCTGATGTACAAGGATGTATCTCAGTATTCAGCATGCCTCCAAGAAACAAAAATCAACCCAAAACAAAAGAAAAAGGAGAAAAACAGTGCTGGTCTGCAATTGCAATGCTCCTTTGCACGGACCAGTGCTGGAATCACTCAAGACTGTAACATGGTGACTGAGCAGCCGCTTCATTGAAGATGACATGCAGTCCAGTCAGCTGCGCTGAGTAGGGGTAGGGAGAAACCTCTTCTTTGGGGCAGCATGGAACCTAACACCCAGGATTGTCCTCTGCATTCAGCCCAGACACTCAGAAATGTTTGCTCCTTCCCACAGAGCCCCAGGGACCCGCTGGAGTCCAGTCAGGAACCCAGTATCCCACCCTGAACCACGAGCTTCCCTGGGACAAATCTGTGCAAAAAAGGCAAAGGGGCATTTTATCACGAAGACTTCACATTCAGCATTTCCCCACAGTACCTGTAGGAAACTAATGGGGGACATTCTATAGTCATATATGTTTAAAAAAATAAATCTCCTCACTTATTGCCTACCATAATACACCCTTTGGCTCCCAGTTCCTCTCTGAAGTATCACTCCTACCAGCCCCGCAGCCCCAGCCCTCACAGGCAGCTGGGGCCAGGGTTCCCTTTTTGGGGTGCCAAGCTCTGAGCTACAGCCACAGCAGGGCACCCGCTGTGATGCCACAGGCTGGGCGGGATGTAAAGCTTGTCTGCAGGAGGGTGATCCTGCTCCCTGTTGCCATCGGCAAAGCACTGGCTGCCTCTCCCTGCTCTGCTCCTGCCCGGCTTCCCTGTCAGCATCCGGAAGAGTCACGGGCTGCTCAGGGAGTGAGCTCTCACCTGCACCTTGTGCCCGAGCACTCCTTCCTGCCTCTCTGCAGACGTTGAGCGCTGTGAGCTAAAGACACCTTTATATTAAAAAAGATAAAAGAAAATCAACTAAAGTGGGAACTTTTCACCACAAACCCTGTGTGAGGGATTCTAAACCCAGCAGAGCTGTGCTTCTTGAGCTGAACACCCTCTATTCCTACACCTTGAGGGAAGCCCCTGGAGCAGGCAGCGATGGGCCACAGTGCCCCTGCACCTTGCACACCTCTGAGCATAGTGCATAAGTCCTGGAGAAATTTCGTGGGCGGGAGGGAAAAGAAGCCATCCCAATTTAATGGGGAAAGAAAACAACAAAAAACCCAACAAATAAAACCTCCCCCAAAACCCAACCCCACTTATAGGCTTCAGGCACCACAAAGACCACGTATTGCATCTCTTCTTACCCTATGGGTGCAGTGCTGATGAGCTCTGTGCAGGATGAGCCCTCCCCTTCCCAAGCACCAACCTTGGTATTCAGAAGCCAGGCACAGCAGGGGCTGGGGGCTGACCCGGGGTGTCCAGCCACAGGAAAACTTTGGAATTTGATACCTGGGTACACCAAAACCAGTGCTTGGGAAGTGACTGAGTGATCCCCCAGGAGAGGGCTTCCTCAGGCATTGCACTGACCCTTACCCTCTGCCACCTTGATGCATCCCCAGCAGGGCCCGGCTGAGTGGTAGATGGAAGAATTCCACTTTGCTTCTTTTTTTTGTTTGCTTTTTTTTTGGATTGATTGTTTTCTGAAAAACAGCACAGCACAGGACAGTACTACCCACCCTAAATGTGTCGCTATATACATTCTACATAAGCTCTATAGCAATCACATGTAAACATCATCATTGTGAGGAAATACTAGGACAGAAAAAGGCAAAGCTACAATGAGGCAATTGCCAATAGCAGATGCTCAGTCTTGGCCAGAGCTTCTCATGTTTGCTAAGGTGGGATGAGGAACCGGGAGAGCTTGTGGCAGGAGAGACACCAAACCTTGCTGCTGAGACTGAAATGGCACAAGGGCTGTTCCCTGGCAGTGATGGTCACCGGCGGCAGGTTGGGGACCTACAGTTCAAACC